GGAATTTTTATCACAGGTAAACTGTCAAGTATTTGGCTGGAGTGCCATAAATAGTTGGGTCGAATGCCTCACCTGCTCTCTCAGTATATGGATTGAAGCAACCTGTGCATAGACCTGCTCAGTGTAGTGTACACATGGCATGCTTGGCCTCACGGGAGTTTACGCATGGTCGATAATATTTCTTGATCCATTTACATTGTATTTGCAAGGTGCACAATGTACATGTGTTGGATATTACATGTAATGCCCAAGTACACGTACATAGTTATCATTTTTCTCATACTTTCTCCTAAAGGAATTGCCTTTTGGGGGGAAGGTGATTTGTGGTAAGAATTTGGTTTGAGCCCTTTTTTCCTTTTAATCATTTTAATTTATTTTCAAGTTTTGTGATTTGCTATGCCAGCTCTGGGATTTGAAAATACCGGTACACACTTGTTCCTAGCTCCCAGCAGCCCTTAATTCACTATTTGTAATGTGATTTTTCACACACCCTGGTGAATAGGGAGAAGCTTTTTTTGTTTCAGAGAGTTTTGTCATTAATGTACATGTAAATGTTATTTGTTAAATATCTTGACTTTCATACTAAATACTAGAGGATACAGTAACAGAAAGGGTCTCCCTCTGTTTCTAAAAATTTTTTCTCAATTAAACCCCCCCGACAATTTGTTTGTGATCCTGTATAAAGCTCTCCTTGAATTAAGTTGAAAAGTAAAGTAATTTACATGCAAGGTGTATGAGTGCGTGCACATGTAGCGACCAGAGTTATGTAGAATGTGGTGATTCATCTGCTCCCAAAAGTCATGGAACCAGATTGAATGAATGTGTAGGAAAAACCAACAAATGGCGACTACATGCATTTTACTTTGCCCACAAAATAAATCTCCCGTCTACGTTTCTGATTGCATCATATTACCATATTTCATGTCAGCTTTGTGCACGTGCAAGTGTCAATACACATAAATACGCTCATGAATCTGGTTGACACTGTCACTGTCTGACTTAAGTATTTGCCCAGAAAAGCAGCTCTGGAGAATTGTTTCCCTGCATGGCACAAGCCAAATTTTTTTTATTACCTTGCAACCAATTTACACGTGGGACTGATTGAATTCGCATGTCGGGCGGGGGAAGAAAAAAAAGTTGTTCCACGACCGGTGACGCCGTGCTTTTTGTCTGAGTCTTTCAGTTCCCAGAGACGGGACTTTGGCGAGAGAGCAATTTGGATGTCTGCCCAGTGATGGGATTGTGGTTTTTAAGGAGGCTCGCGTGTGCGGACGGGCTTGATTTATTCCCTGCTTCATGGTGATGAAGAGAGAGACCGCGCTCCATCGGACGGCACTCCGCAGGTTAACAGGGTTTAGATAGATGTGTGTTCAGAGTCATTCTAAAGATCCTGGGACCCAATTTGTAGCATCACTGCTCCCTTGATTTGTCCTGCCGCCAGGAATTTGTTCCTGCATTTCGTAGAGCTCATTGCCTTGGATACAGATATGCTCAAGATGTTGATGCATTTAAGGAATCTCTCTGGATATTAGCCAGGCTGCGAAACCCGCCTGAAGCGGGGCAGCTTTGTGCTGTTTGCAATCTTTGATATGCCAACTTCCAAGCAGTGACGCAGTTCACAACTTTTATAAGATTGCAGTGCAACACAGTCTTATTAAAAACTCAACTTGTTATGATTTACTTGATTAAGTGAAAATTAGAAGAAAAAAAAGCCTGCTGAAGTAATTTATGAGGCAATTTTGAGTCAGGGCAGTGAAAAGGAACGACTTCTCCCAAGAAAAAAAGAGTCCATTTCAGCACAAAGGTGATTAGTCATCCGTTGTGCAAGTGTGCAAGAAATTACAGAAATGAGAGCTTGCAGGGCGTCCCAGCAATGTAATTAAAACCTCATTTTTACCATCTCCACTTCCTATTAAATATTAAACCCCCGATTAGTCATTTGTCAGGATAGAATTAAGTGTGAATTGTCACAAAACACTATTCTGAGTTGGTCACGAATGGCTGACAATTCCAAATCTGTCAAACAGACCCTTTTTTTCCTCTGTGTGCGTGTGGATCCAGGAAATGTCATCCATCACCCACACACTGCACGGTTTTGGAAAATGAACGGTGCAATGTGATGAGCAGATGTTGGGATTAAACCGAAACGCTCACTGGTGTCGATCTCATCGTAATCATCTCAGCGGCATTAAAGAATGAAACCAAGTGGGAATCATTTGACTATAAAGGATATTTATCTGGATCTACACTGGCTTATCTTGCAAGTGTCTCATGTGGAATTGACTGCACTGAAACTCTGAAGCCATTAAATAAAATTGAACATATATCCGTACTGAAAATGTTAATTTTTTATCTTGCAAATAAAATTGGATTCCTTTTGTCGTTTGCTAAGTACTGTAGTATGTCTGATGCCAGTGACCTCCAGCTCCAGAATCACGGTATGATTTGGGTTTCTGTCCCTCGGTGTGTTGGTCCAGTAGTGTTCCACAGAGCTTGCCCAAGATGTGGCCGCAGCATCTTTAATATTACAAATTGCCAGCTAACCGATGTTAAATGCATAGATCTCTCAAAATTAACTGGCAAAAGGCTGGCGTGTACACGTACATGTTACCTGTAGTTCTGGAAAGCCGTTTTGTTATTCATGCTTTAAGCATAGGATGCACCTGTAGCAAAGCTGGACACACCAACCACAAGCTGTCATTGGATTGGCTCACAGCAACGTGTCAAATGAGCTTAGAAGAATCTACTTTAACAATCCATTAAGCAGGCATGCAAGCACAAGTGCTAGTGTGTACATACATGTTGAAACCCCCAACCCTTTATTAGTTTGCACACGGCCTGCGTATCCGGAATATTTCACGGGGAACATTCATTGGAGCCAATTATGAAGAGGGAGTAACTCGAGCCCCAGAATATCGACATGCTAGACATCTCTGGCATCCCTTAACAGCTAAATGGATCATCTAAGTGTCATTGTTAATTACCCTGACCCAGTTAATTGACAATTGAGTTGCAGGTGCATCGCTCAAGTGTACAGCCTACATTTGGAGGGGAGCCCTACAAGGTCCATATCCTAATCCCTCTTCTCCCACACCTTATCACCCCCCCCAAAAAGGACAAAATGTGTCCAATGGAATGCTGTGAAGATACCTGATCTTATCGTGAATACCAGCCTGTCCTTTTATCACTCTGCCATTAAAGCAGTAATTTGCGCTATCAATTCCCCAAGTCCTTTTTTTCCCCTCACTCTCCCTTACTCTTTCCTGAATGATCCCAGCGGTGTGGCTTTTGTTACAGTCCGCTGATCCCCAACACGACCAAGAATAACATGGGGGGGTTCGTTGCCAACAAACATAGTGGGGCCGTAGACTTCTCACCTGTCCAAACTGCGAGGTCCTCAGCCCCCGCTGCAAACATTAGTCATCCTCAGCAATGCAGCTGCCACACGTAACCCCGCCTCTGTGGAGACTGATTGGTATTCCATACAATTTGTGCGGAATCAGAAATTAAAAAAAGAAAATACGTGTAGGTGTGTGGATGCACAGCTTTAGTAAATTGGTTTTCGTTTCGGACGTGGCCGGAATAAGGACGAATGGTGGGAGAACCGTCGTGCTGACTCACGGCTCTGACAACTGATGTTGATTGACTAACATACTAAACCTGGAAGGAAGGATCCACGTCCGTTCAAGTGGAAACACAGTATATTTTTGTAAAGACTTTGCCACTATCCATATTGCACTTCAGCACCAGCAGTTCCATAATCTTCTGTGATGTGTTTAAGTCATTAACGGCAGTGCCATTGATAACTAAAGCAGGTGTCGCTCACAGAGAGACTCCTCGCCTGCGATAACCACATTTTAAAAGTGTACATTCCGGATCGGTAACATACGTGTGATTGATGGCACCATGTGAACATACTACAACTGCCACTTAGATGTTGCGCAGTGCCACGCTGTACAGTAAACAGCAATGTTTCAACCAGCTCCCACAACTTAAGAGTAAAGTTACATACAGCAGTAATAAAATATCTGTGGATACCACACATGTAACTGACTGATACAGATGTTCGTGTGTATGTTGAAATGGTGAAAGTACCAGAAGAAACCAGCTACGCTGCTTTATCCAAAGATACTCAAATCCCGAATTTTTGTGACTTTTCCTCTTGTTGGTCACCTGTAGTAAAATTGTTGTTTTGCTTTTAACATCAGCATCTGACTGTTTTTAACAGATGCTGTAGGGACCATGACAAACTTTGTCCCCACAGCCAGTGTTTTATTCAATTCAATTCAATTTAATTCAAAGTCTGAAAACTAATAAATATGCAGTTACATGTACATTACAGTTGTTAGATACAAATTGTACAGAAATTTAAAAAAGAATCGAGTGATTGGGTATTTTTATTATTGGTTATTATTGGGTATTATTATTGATTATTTGAAAATTAAGACAAACAAGACATCAAGACAAATATGCACCATGTAGCACACTAAAATTTGAGTCCATCACAAGTCCACAGGTCAGTTCCATCAATTCTGTCATGAGCCAATTCACAAGCTATTCAAATGGACTGGTACAGAAGCATTCCTTTGTCCTTGTCCACGCTGTTACTGACAACAGGCCTTGTGAAGGGACATGTGACTGGACTTGTAAAGGGGCTTGTGACAAGATTTGTGATGGATTTAAATGTAACACTGCCCACTACAGGGCCTTGAAGATAAGAGCAGTTTGTCCCCTGGATGCAGTTACAGCCTTGGCAAAACACACGTGTACATTCAATACCAAGGCATTAGTTTTTGCTCCAGTCCTCTTCAATTCCGGGACATGTATGGATAATCTATAAGTCATTTTTCCTGCATGTGAGTCACAGTTCGTCCTCAAGTGCAGCCTGGTTTACACAATCAGTTTGACTGTTTATCAAATGCCTCGTCATGCTTACAATTTTATTCTAAATATTTTCCCTCCGTGTCTCTTTCTTGGCGGTGTCCTCCTCCACATCCCAGGTCTCCATCTTCCGCCAGATGCCCAACATTGAGGTCATCAATGTCAGCGTCAACAGCATCACCACGCTGGAGGACTTTGCCCACTGCCCCAACCTGGCGGAGCTCTACATCCGCAAGAACTGCATCGGCGACCTGGCCGAGATCTGGTACCTGCGCAACTTGCGCAAGCTGCGGGTGCTGTGGCTGGCGGACAACCCCTGCGCGGCCGGCGACCACTACCGGCTGACGGTCCTGCGCATGCTGCCCAACTTGCAGAAGCTCGACAATGTTTGTGAGTATTTGGGGGGGGGGTGCTTCAGAGAGACATTGAAATTGAACTGAGAGTTCTCTGCATGTTGATTCCTCGTGTCTGGGGTAGATTTGTTCCTCGGGAGCAGCAGTGCGTACCGTACTGCAGAGCCTCAAGCACTTGCTTTACCAAGTGTTTATTGAGCAGTTTCCTGGGATTCGTTTTCATTTCTGGGCAGATCACTCGGATCATGATTTCTTCCCCATTTTGAAATCCCTCAGCCTTCACCCTCTCTGCTTGACTTGCAGTATGGCACCTGCTGTACCAGTTTTCCTCCCGTGGGTGATCATATTTAACCCCTCCCCCCCTCCACTGCACATCTCGGTTTAACTAACCTCGTGGGGAGAACTGAAAAACTGAGTGTTGAAATAAAGACTCGACAGCAGCACTTCTCTTTCTGCACCGTGTCATTAGTCTTCCCAGGTGTTTATATTTTTGAGAAATTTCCAACAGAAAATTGACAAGACAAAAAAAAAAATCATCCTCTTGAGATGAATTTGAGTAGAAATTAAATTTTGTCAGAGCTGTCTGCAAATTTTTGTTTTTTTGAAAAGGTTGTACAAGGAGACAATGTAATACCCGGGGGGCAAATTGCATTATCTTATGAAAGACACGAGTGCACGGTGAGTGAGCCCTGATGCGCGCCCTCTTTTTCTTCACTTGGTGCATTAAACCCACCGTTGAGTCATCAACACATCAGCGGCGTTGCGTTGACAGTCGCCACAAAGGAACCTTTTGGGAAAAAAAAAACAGGAGAGAACAAAACAATACACGGAGAGAGAGAGCATCTTCACCATCCAAGAAGATTACCTAACGGTGGGAATCTCCTTTGGCTGGGTGACGATGTCGGCACCAGGCATGCATTTTAAATTTTGGATGAGTGAGACCGGTGCGTTGTCTCTCATGCCTTCCCTCCCCAGTCGGAGCCGCTGGGGATATATATACACACCTTACGAACGAGCGACTCTGCCCTGTACATCGCTGACCATTGGTGTGTTGGGGGGGGATGTTGTCGTACAGAAAAGGTTGAAAAACACTGCCGCTTATTCCGAATGAACTTCCGTGAACCTGCATTGTGGGGCGTCTTGGTCCCATGGGTTATAGAAACATAGCACTCTGAGAAGAATTTACAATTGCAATTACTTCCAGTGCCAGATAATCACAAGGCACAGCTTTTTTTTTTTTTCCCTTCTTGTTTTGAACATCAGAAGTGACTGGCGACGTCCTATTCCTTAAAATGACACGACCATATTCTTAAAATGCAGGGTCCCGACGTTGCTCTTGCCACGCGAGTGTATCTAATTTGTGTAATCAGTCGTAAGTCACAAATTTTATGACCAATCTCTTGGTGGTGCCGTGCACTTAAAGGAGGATGCGTCATCCGTAGGTTTTCCTGGAGCCGTATGCTGTTTAAATGTGGCACTACAAAAACATCGCAGAAACCGCAGATTTGTCACAGAATGGCTGAGTAACATGTTCATTGGAAAACTTTGGGAATTTGGGAATAAAAATTTGCCCCAAATACAGGTTTATCTTTTCTAAAAATTTGCCCCTCAAAAGGCTTTTTACATACATGTATGCACATTTCTAATGCAAGCCAGATTTGAACTTCTGAAAAAGAATGGCAAAGGAGTACCTACTATACATGCATAGTGCATGTACAGTATGTCCTCTCCTTTTTGTATTTTTTCCACTTGACCTTTGACTCGGATTATGGTCTCAGGAACAGGCTGGGGTTCTAACATGTATTTTAACTTTTGTTGAAAAACTGTATTGTGCCACGCAGAGTACCTGTTTTGTTGTGGCTCATTAAGTGTACAAATATATCTTTCTTTATTCCATTCCAAAGTGTACATATAAACCTATAACAAATGGTTCCAGATCCCTGAGTACACACCCACACAACTTGAGATTCCCTGGATGCAGAATCTGAAGGTTCCAAGAACTATGGTATTGGGGAAAGCCCCTAGTACTGTACATCAGGATAGGCGGGTTTAAGCATGCCCAAGGAATTACTTCCATGGAGAATGATTGTTGTTTATCTTGGGCCACTTTTTGTGTTCAGCCAAATCCTGGGGAATAAAGTTGAGATAGCTATTTGTACTGACCTGCAGTGTGCAGTAGTCTGACATCTGTTTGCTTTGTAATTTGTTGAATTAAGTTCACAAGATTGCTTTTAGTTTCAATGTTTAAACTCCCAAACGAAACACAAGCAGTTCAATAAGCCCTTTGTGAGTTAAATTTGAATAAAATCTGGTACACTGAGTTACCTGCTTGCACACAAACATAAGAATTTGAATTTGCCAGACTAAAGACACTGTGGCTATACCTCGTGATTCGGGGCAAGCTTTTGCATAGCGACCACCATCTCTGGAATGGACTGGTTCCTTTGTGCCTTCTTATCCATTGAGAATAGTATATTGTTGCAAGGCGTCTCTTCTGTAACTAAGCAAAAGCTTGCCCTAAATCACCGAGGTATAGCACCAGGGGTTTTAGTAAGGAGAATTTAAATTGTTACGTTCACATGAATTTAAAGAACTCAGTGTACCAGATTATATTCAAATTTAACTCGTAAAAGGCTTATGGCGTGAAGGCCTGTTGCTGTAGTAGTTTCCTTCACAAGCTTAGTACCTCTCAAAGAGAATCAACCTTTTGCCCGTCTGCCAATTTTTTTTTTCCAGTGGTGACTAACGATGAGGTGAACAGAGCCATGGAGCACGGCCTGGACTTGGCCCCGCCTATTGCCTCGCTAAGATGGCAAGCCAATGGCCACATCGCCAAGGACAAAGACATGAGAGACAGCTCAGTAGAAATCAGCCTAGATGAAACAAAGTAAGAGAAGTTTACATAGTTACTGAAATTACCGGGTTTGGATTGTTGGTTGTTTTATGTATTTAGTCTTTTGATCAAATTCCGAAGGAATTTCCACCCACTGCCCATGAAAAAATCCCCCTTCCTACGAATCTGTCCAGAGGTTTTTGTCATGATATTGCCAAGTTTTCTTATTTTGTACAACATTTTCTGTTCTTTTAACAAATGTTTTTGTTTTGATTTAGTTGAAATTCAGATCCCAGCATGGTATTTTTTTATATCATTCCCCACCTCCAGGAAAGATAGTCCATTTCTCGCCAAATATCTTCATTCTCATTCAAATAATGGTGGAAACAGCATTTTGTTTGCAAAGACGTTCTTTGTTTGCTTTTCATCTACTCCAAAACTACTAGCGAGAAATCAAAATAAAGCAACAATGCTTTTCCCCTCAGCCTTCAAAGTCAATTATTCCCCGGGAAATCTTCATTTCTACCTTTCCCCTGGCTCACTGATATCCATATGAATTTATTCCTTTATGCAGGCTAGTGGCTGGGGGGGGGAGAAATCACTTTATTTATGCTGATGCGCGCTTTGTCTTGCCCTATGAATCATCACTTAAATTGGTGCAAAGATTTCGTGGCTATTTTCTTGAGATTACCGGTGAGAAAGCGCATGCAGATGTCTGACCTCAGCCCGGACACGAGTTGAGGCAGGCGGTGATTTGAAAACAGATAGATGAAGAAGGGTGGAGAGAAAAAAAAAAAAAACTGAATGAATTGAGTTATTGCACTTTATTGGATCTACCACTGCAGTCATGAGTTATGAGTAATACCTCCAGTAGCCCGGAGGGTATCTGGAGGGACGGGGGCTTTACCCCGAGGTTGCAGTACACGAGGACCAATTGAAAGGCAGAAATCAACCCGGATGCTGAGGCACAGACGCTCTCGGCTTAAAACCTGGTCTTCCTTGTGAAACACCTGCATTTCGCCTTCCTTCCCTCTAGTCTGTGGGGTCAGCTTTCTGATTGGCTCAGAGATGAAGAAAAAAAAAAAGGGTTTGGTGGGTAGGTAATGGGGGTTTAGTAAGGAAGGTCATCCCTGATTGGATGCTTGGAATCCCCAAATGTCTCAATTATGTCACAGATTAGGCATCTGCTACCCAAGTCAACGAGTTTGATGAGCAGTCAGATGTTTTTGGTGTTACAGATGGCATTGCCAGATTGACCGGTCTCTTACGAGGACACAGTTATTAAGAATAAGGAACTGCTTGGTATAGCGCATTGAAACTTACTGGCGACAACCCTTTAGACTTGTTTCTTGTTTCTTAATCGGTGTGTCAAAAAATACCCGCTTTCTTACAAATAAGATTCATGCACAGATGAGATCAATGCATGTTTGTGCGATGCATTATGATCTGCTCACATGCACATGTATATATGCAGAAAAAAGGTCAGGCTGGATCAGGCAACTTCTCGAACTCCGAGCAATTTACGTGTAACCCACAAGTACCTCTAAACAGATGCAGAGGTCATGACTGATCGGATGGCGATTTAAACAGCATATTGTCCCCTTCCCTGCCCACCCACCACCACCGCCGCCGCCGCCGCCAATCTGATGAGGGTGAATTAATACATGTACGTGTTGGACGGGGGTAAGTTTAATCACAGATTGGGTACTGCTCAGAGGCGTGTTGCATTATCCTCCAGTCCCTGCGGCTGTTTTGACTTCTGCTCGAGTGGCCTCTCCCAAGTCTGATTCACCCTTTGCTTACCGTCCCCTCCCCCACACTGAGGACTTCCTCCCAACGTGCAGCAAAGGGGGCTGGCAGATTACAGAGAGACGTTTCAGCACCCCAGGTGTTGACGAGCCCAATCCACCAGCACTCCATCTCAAAAATGTTCCCTTCCTGCAGCGCCTCCCTCCTTGATTGCAGACCATTGTTCTTCTGGCCAAAGGCTGTAAATTTCCTCTTTTTGATAGAAAAGGACAAAAGGAGAAAAACCTCCCTCTCATCTCCCTCTTCCCTGCGGGTGCTGCTCCTAAACAAGATTCTTCCTCGCCCCCTTTCCATCCTTGGCTAAAAAAATGAATCTTATTTTCATTTCCCCAACGCGTGTCGTCTCTGGTAGGATTTTTTCTGGATCGCGGGCAGTGCATTCATTATCCTCACACCGGGGCAATTTGGCAGGGACACTGTCTGTCTCTTCCCATTAGTCCTGGACAAAAGATAATCCTTACCCCCTTCTCCGTGGTCCCTTCCCCCCTTCTGCCCTCCCTTCCCCTCTATCCCCTCTGGCCGGATTGCCTCATTCGTCCTACTTGCGCCAAGCCGAGAAATAACCCCCTCCCTTCCCTGCACCCACCGTGATTTTTACCTGGGTAATCCTGAGTAAATAAAACTGCCTTTGTTGTGGAAAGCAGCCATTTCGGCAGGGGCTGGCAAACCCAACGGGCTCACGAACAGAGAGAGGGAGAAGGAGCGACAAATCATTTGTTTTTTCTTCCCCTTTGGCCGTGATACCGTTGATTGAATTTCATGTTGGAACTCCAAGGGTGTACTTAAAGTGATGCTTGGCAAGAAAACCAAGGAAAAGAATGGCTTAATGGATAAATTTTATGTATCGAGTCCTTAAAGAAATGGACGTGGGACACATTAACTCATTGTTACATGATTCATGCATGCATGTGCTTACAAATCAATGTTTTTGTACTACTCAATACTTAAATAGAATATTAAATGTACCCTTCGTATTATTTGCAGAAATGCGTATGGTTTCAAAATCACTTTGGAGGAAAATGGTTTTCTATCAGGTGTAACCTCTACCGAGACAAGTATTTCAACATTCGAATAATGTGTATTTCCATTCAGTTGCATCTTTCAATATCCAGTTTAACAAAGGCTTCAGAGAATTTTAAAAATCTGACACCCTACAGAACTGTAACCTTCCTTTTCTTTATGTTGCAGTCAGTGTTCCAAATATTCAAGTAAATTTTCAAGTGTTTGCAAGCTCAAGACCCCAATATTTTAATATTGGATAATTGATTGATTGGTTAGTGTTAATGAAATATTTAATACTCAGATATTCAGCAGAGATTTATTGGAGATTTATATTAAACGCTGAGAAACCACTGTCTGCTCCTCCTTTGCTCAGTCTTGTACCCTACAAAACACAATTTACAATGGCCTTTACTGGAATCCAAACAAACTCACCAGACTCTGAGCAAGTCTGATCTGATCGATGTAGAAATCTGTTGCTCTGAGGACCAGAATGCCAAAGATCTCATCTGGTTGTCACAGCCCCCCCCCAAACTCAGGGTCAGTCTTTCTGCTGTAAAATTGGCTGCGATTGATTTTACTGTCAGGACAATTAGATCTGTGGATACTCGGGATATTTAGTTCCTGATCCCCTGGGCACATTATCTCCTTAGCCTTGTAAGTACCCAATTAGTGTCATTCAGCCTTCCCTATTTAGGTCTATTAACATGCTGTTTGTTTTCACATTGGTTTTTGAATTGTTTTTTAAGACAACAATGAGGTGCCCAATTACAGCTCATCATGTGGGATATTACTGTTATTGTGTATTGTTGTGTTATGTATTTTCCGACTTTGTAAAGGCACGACCGAGCAAATTCATCGGTGTCAATTCTTTTGAAATATTGTTCAGATATCCCTTCTTTATATTTATTTACACAAGTCTGTTTTTCACATTTTTTTTTTTGCTGCTACATGTAATTGTACCGGTACTTCTCACCTTTAAATTTGGAAGTTGGGTTCTTGTGAATCCCAGAATGAAATGAAGATGGAGGTGTTGGTAGTGGTCTAGCATTTATTGTTCCATTTCAGTTTGTAATAATAATAATTCTCCAATAAGACAATGAAACCTGGTCACTGAATTGGGCTCGTGGTGTTTTTCTGTCAACTGTTTTTGCCTCTTCACTCTTTTTATGACAAAATCAACAGTGCAAAATTATTTTTAAGTCAAATTTGGCAAATTTCTATAAGAATTGTTAACCCAAATTTCAACCAGACAACTGCTGACCTGTTTCTACTATCAAAACAAAGCCTGACTGTACCCCAGCACATCTATGTCATTTATTGCTCTACAACCACATTTGTCCCTGTGCTTTTTTTGATGGTGTACATGTAGTTTTTAAGGTGTGCAGCGCAGATGTGGACACGTACTAGTACCATTTGTCGTGGGAGTTTGATGTGATTGCACTTTTCCAGGTTATATTGGAACCCGGTTCCCATTTCCACGTACGGTAGAGTGCGTGCGGATCTGTGATTACTGTTTACCAACCTGAAGCCAGACACAAGGCATCTTGCCCATTGCGTGATACCCCCGTAAAGTGCCTCGTGTCACAATGCTCTGTTTGCTAATTTAAGCCAGATGTTATTTTGCAGGCCTCTTTTGGCTGTGGTTTTCATTTCATTTCTATTGGCAACCGACCAGTGGAAAATTGTGCTTTCATTTTAGACAGGTTTCTTTGGAGTCTGCAAAAAAAAAAAGTCCCAGGGATTCCAAAACTTGAACCAAGTTCCGACCTTGTTTGGTTAATTGTCTGGCACTCAAGAGTTCCCATCACATTTCTAGATTTTAACAGAAAGTAGTCGTTATGTTACTTTCCCCAGTAAAATCAGAGAAGAATTGGGACTGAAGCCTTTGCCCGTCGACAAACTCTCGCCAGCCAAACACAGAACGGGCTCAAGTAAAGGACGGGTAAGCCGAAGGAGAAAAACCTTTTCTTTTTGTACAGAAAGTGTGTGCATGTGACTGGGTAATTTCAACAGCTGTGATTTGATTGTCTGCTCTGTACAAGTGTGATTACAAAGTCGATTCACTTTACATGTTTGTGAGCATTAAAAGGTACTCGTAGCTGCAAATAATTTTTCTTGGACGCAATTTTTCTGCAACTCTGTACTCTTCTTCAATATACGAACACTCTTTTGCACACCCATCTGGTTAAATGCACTGAAATGTGCACTTTTTGATACACTGAAAATTATCTATGTTTTCCCGGACAACGGAGGGCGCTGTTGCTGTTATGTCATCCAGGGAAGACATAGTTCATTGCATAGGCTTTTCTATTAAAACTGTGAACCCAGAAGTTACTTATTCAGTACATTGCAGAGAAAAGTACATACTAATGTACTAGTGCCCACCCGGTGCTATGCACATAAACAACAATGAATCAGCATAGAAGATTTAACCCAGAAAAAGTATTAAAATGCATGACTTTTTTGTGTACAATGTAAATGTGACATTTAGGCTTTCTTCCTGGGATAACATCACAGTTTTGCTCATGAATATTAAAATACTCATTAGCATAGAAACCAAAAAGGCAGCAAAATGCCCTTTGAAATAAGGAAAGAAAAGTTGAAAATCAGGTTTACTGAGACTCAAAGGTGCGTAGTGAAGGTTTTTAATAAATCAATTCATTTCAGCTACCCTTAAAGCCATTGTATGATTTCACAGTAGGGGTTCTTGTGTCTGATTGTGTCATCTGTCAAGCTTTTATTCACTCTTGGTTGCAATTTGGGGGGAGGGAGGGAAGAAAGCCATTGATTGCTTTTGGTTTGTACAAGGGGAAGCAAATATTTGATCGATTATCGAATATTTGAATATTGTTGTCCGAATTTAAATATTTAAATGCAAAATTCATGGAAAGGAAGGGAACATTTTCTTTTGCTTAAAATGAAAAAAAAAAATGCACTGTGGAGGCTTGTTTCAAGCAGATTTAAATGAAAAGTGACAGTCATCAACAATCTGCCGCTCAGTTCGACCGAATATTCGGTTGAATTGAAGGTCCAATATTCGAATAGTGAATTATTCGAATTGACTCAGCCCTAGGAAGCACTTACAAGTGATTCAGTAACGGCTGTAAATATTCCAGCAACATTGATCTGAAGTTGATTCCCTGAACAGCTAACCCAATTGTGAGTCAGCAACTTCAGCTGGCCTATTTGAATGTGACGTAAATTTTTGTCCAAAGATGAATTGCTTCTTTTGTTTTGTGACCGGAGATGTCCAGTGTTTACTTACATTGGGTGGTGTCTGGGGCTGAGAGCTTTGCGGGAGTGGATTGTTTTCACACATTGCAATTTTGGCTGTCAAGAAGGAATATTTATTGAGATGTGGAATTGGGAACTCTGAATTGACGCAGCATTTTTTTGGGGGGGGGGAGTGGAGGTGTTGTGGTTTGTCTTGTTCAATATCTTTACATCTGCAGGGTTCTAGGGTCATGTGAAAAGTTGAGACGCCTGTAAAGTGAATCCCACACTTAAAGAAAATCTTCAGAGCCACTGGCTATTTATGAACTTAAACGCGCAGTCACCCACTAATGAGTTTGAAAATTTATGTATGCCCTTGTTCAGAAGCAACACATTATCAGATCTCTATGTATATTTTGTCACTCAATTTTCCGGGGCAAAACCAGAGCATTTTCAGCTCTTTATATTGATGTTTTGCTTGTTTTTGCGTCCATCAAATTCAGGCATAATGGTGTCAGTTTCCTTTGATGCCCGTTGTGTAAGTGTTTTTTTTTAAGGCCTCATCCTCAAAAAATGTTCTGATGACTCGTGACTCATTCAGTTTGGTTGGATTATGTAATTTTGGATTGAACACTTTAGAATAAAACTGAAACAAATCAATGGTTAAGTGTTGTAATGTCTGAGGGCAATTTAGTTTTCCTTTCCCAAGCATTCCAATACTTCGGCATTTCTGTAATCCGGAAAAATTCACAGAGATGGGGTTTGTATGTGTCGGTGAATGCCAAGTATTGGCGGCATTCGCGGTTTGCTCTACCGCCATATAATTGAAATTACATGAATGCCGTACACGCAGACCTGGGTATGCACCGGGTGTCGGCGACTCTCATGAATTTTCAATGGGATGGACAAAATGCCAAGGCCGGAGTGGTTGGAACTCTTTACCTTGAGAGCGCTGCCTACGATCTCTTTGTTGTCTCAGTGGTACCTTGTCAGTGGGAGAATAAGTCAAGCCCCTCTCCTGGCCTTGCCGAGATGGGCAACAGGTGCTCCAGACACAATATCATTTTCAGTCCCCCTTCCTTGTTTGCCAAGAACATCCTGTGAAAAACAAGCGTCTGCACCTCAAGTGCCAAAGAGAACCTCCTGAGCTTCCCTCCCCCTCCCCCCAATAAAATTGAAATAAAATGTCAGGCATCCATACATGCACAGCTGCGACATTGCTTCGCTCTGTTTTGTTTGGATTGTGAAGGTAAATATTGGATCTCTTCCGTGTCTTCTTGGTGGCTTCAGGTTTCATGTTTGTGTTTTACCGTGTGACCTCAGTTTTCCTGTTTCTTCATTGTAATTTCTTTCCGAGAGAGGTTTACTTTTCATCAGCTCATCAAACATGTTTGTGATTAATTGCAGTTTTGTGTTCATCTTGCACTAATATTGTGATTTGCATGCCGTTTCGTATTTGCTTGTGATAATGTTACGGCGATGCGTATTCACAAACACATCTCTAATGAAAATATATTAAAGTTCTTTGTAAGCGCAGTATTAAAATGAAATATATAAAAAAAATTTTGATCTTTTTACCTTGAAAGTAGATACTTTTAAACCATACATGCAATTGTTATTTTATTATTTCTGACCATTTTACCTGTCACATTTTTCAAATTTAGTTCAATCCATCTAAGAAACAGTTTGTTGCTCTGTTAATTTGAATTTAATTATGACTGAGTTGATTTTACTGTCAACATTTTTGTTGTTTTTAAAAGAGTTCATTTAGCCATCACCTGCAAAGCCAAACACCCTTTTTAAGCCCTTACTGACCGTTAGCCGTGTGCAGCCAGAGCAGAGATCTACATGTATGTTATGGTTGCAAACAGCATTTTAAGCCTTTTTGAACAAATGCATACAAAGTTAAAAGGATTTGGAATCTGTCCAGTATGAGCTTTTGGTTTTGGGAAAAGCATAGTGTAAAAAAATGAATTAATAAATAAAAAAATAAAATAAGCAATCAGGAAAAAAATGAAAAGAAAATCCCTTGTCTGCTGGACCCCTGTGTAATGATACATGTTGGTCAAGAAAGATTTAAACAATTGTTGAAGTCCCTATGCAAAAATGTCCATTGCTTGTTTTGTTTTTCCACTTTGTACTAATCGGTTCATCTTGATCCCCATCGTCCTCCGATATCCCCTTTATTCTCTCCAGAATGCCAACATCCTGACGGCAGTACTAACCCTGATCAAGGAGCTGGATCAGGACACCCTGGAGGTGGTTGCCAACGCTTGCAAGGACCGCCTGGAGTCGTTATGATCCACGGCCGGAAAAACAAAACACCGACCCCGTTCCGCCCCCCTCTCCCCCTCCCCCTGTATAGATTCACCAACCCTTCCTGTGAGGATACCTTTCCCCCCTTCCCTTCCACCCCCCTCAAGGGCAAAGCAACTTGCAGACAAGCTGGAGACAGCAGGATCACCATAGCTGGATTGGCCGAGGAGGGCTTGCTCTTGACACGACGACGATAGCAGGAATTGGAAAAAAAAAAAAAAAAAGTCTTGGCAAAGCTACGGGCCCTATGCAATTACAGTCCCGCAATCAATATGGCTAGAGGTATACTGGGTCCGGTACTGAGCCCCCCCCCACCGCCACCACTGCCACTGCTACCGCCTCTCCACAAGAGTGGTGGGTCGACGTGGTTTGCTCCAAGTCAATCATGGATTTGCATAGATGGCTTAAGCCCTTGTCGTTCTGCCAGGACACTGCGCATATCAATCCCCTGGCCAGGTTGCCTGGGTGCAGTACACGATAGCCTCTGCATGACTTGAGTGTATGACCAATCTTCACCTATCTCCCCCCCTTACCCCACATTTTTCCATATACATGGAATTCAGATTGTCGTTTGTCTCAATTAATGCACTCGGCCATTGAACTGATGCATTTTTTTTCCCTTTGTGTCTCGTTTTTTTATTATGTGGATTGTCTTTTCACTTATTCGTTGTAGGCTTTTGGTTGGGGTTTAAAATTAAGCTCACTTCAATCCTGGAAAGCTGTCAAATTAATGAGAAAAGCATGGGAGTCAGGTCCAGTATTTCAAAAGGACTTTATACGCAGCTGTGACTCATGGATCTTTTTTCCAAAGCCTACTTGGCTTTTTATTCTTTTCCCTCTATTAATCCAAAGAGCTTTGCATGAATACAACATGAACATGTATAGAATTTTGCATATTTGTTTGCACTTTTGTGTATTCAACAGTTCTCATATACCCAGTTTGACCAGTTGAAATCCTCAGTTTTTAGAACTCTCTCTGTCAGAGATGCATACACAGCATATTCCTGTATGAAATGTGGGTGTGCCATTTTTCAGGTGCCTCCTATTTTTATAAACACATGGCCAAAAGGTAACTCGCCTTCAGAGAGGATCGCATCAAATCTTTAAAATTAGGAAACTGTAAAAGAGTCTTGCCAGAGGTTTGTTCAAAGTTCTTCTGATGTCTTCTCGTGTCAGTACTATAAGGTCCTTATTGAATTTGCTTTACACGTGAAATCTGGTGATGACAATTTCGAGAAATTTATTGACCCCCCAGCCCTAGTCGTACATAGAAAAGTGTCAGGGACATGCTGTGTTTCAGTTGGACATTTCTGTCAATACTGGCTCAAATCATGTGACTGTCATCAGGACCCTTTGGCACTGAGCTAACGAAATGAACAACTTGAAATTCAAACATTTTGCCCCTTTAGTGGAAACATTAATAAAATGTGTAATATGCACGTGTTACATACCATACTTTTCCATTTTGGATACATGGAAATAGGAATTGTCCCCCAAGGTGGTTATCCTTTGTCACCATGTTAGGGGAACACTGTTCAGGGACTTTTTGGATGGGATTCAAAACAAGTTCACCCATCTAGAGTCCAGATGCCATACAATCCTAATTATCACAGGGAGCTATTTGTATTGGACATGAAGCCAGTTCACCCATCTAGAGTCCAGATGCCAGACAATCCTAATTATCACAGGGAGCTATTTGTATAGATCGAGATACCTTACCAACCCTAACATTGTGACAGGCCAGTGATACCTGACCTCACGTGTGACCCGATCCCAACCCCGTGTACATCGGAGCAGAAGATTCCGAGAATAAAAATCACCTCAAGAAAGATTTCTGCCTTCAAGATTCAGAAGAAACTAAGTAAACAGCCCCGTCATTGCCAGTCTTCTGAACAAGAGAACCTCTGACGCAAACTCCACTGGTGTGGCACATTTCTCCAACAGCACGGAGGCACGCGCTGTGGACCACGGCGCATAATTACCCGCACGGCGTCGTTTTCACGGTTGGATTTCCCCCCCCTCCTAAACACGCCTGAGGGCATTGAGGTAACACCAAGCGTGTCCACAAGACTTTGCATACAACATACTGAAAGAATCAAGGCATGTCTTGATGGTCACAGCCGTACACTCATTATTGGCCTGTGGCTTGTAACTCTGTCAATTTTCATCTGGAGTGATTGAGGTGTTGACAGGATTTGTGTTGAGCTTTCGGAGGTTGGCTGCACTTTGCTTGGGCTGGTTCCAAGAAACACTGTAAAAATTACTGTAACTTTCCTGTTGATTCAAATAACCCACTTACACAAGTTGAAGGATAATTTGGCAGATGTGTTTCTAAATCTTTTCATTCAAAGTAAGAAAAAATTTTTTTGTAATGGCCAGAATTGTTCATCTTTTGAAGGGCTAACACTGTAAACCGACACACAGAAGTTGGGCATTAACTCCTTTTCCAGCCTTTCAGGTGACTTTATGATTTCCACACGTATAATTCATTTGGATTTATGCTCGTTTTGTGGGTTCTGCTGGTTAATTCAATATATACCTGTTTGCATCATCTCGTATGGTGTTTAGTTGTCATGTCTTATGGTGTTTAGTTGTCATGTCATATGGTGTTTAGTTGTTATGTAAATGTACATCAGTGCAAAAACACTTCAAGAAGTGCACCTCCTCTGATACGATGTTGCTTTGCGTGACAAATGTGCGTGTGTACATACAGTCAACACATTTAAACAGTTATGTTGTAGATTAAGGTATACTTTTCAATGAAGGTCGTTTCAGTAAACTCATGTACACATGGTTCACACAAGGGACATCGTTTGGTGTGCTGTTGTGATGCCAGGTGGGCTACACAGTTGTGTCCTTCCCAATATGCACTTGAGCAAAGTTTTTGGTAACCAACAGCAGGTCAGCAGGTAAAATCTTACAAGTTGTGCTTTGTTTGGTAATGATTCCTGGCAGACTTTTGCTGTGACCTTATTCTCTGCCGAGTGGTCCCACTGAATTTGGCCTGACACTCAACAATTGCCAATGTAAAACTGTTGCAACGTTTCTTGAGTTAGCACACAATAAGCAAACTTTGCACAACAGAGGATCCGGACAAAAGAATCCAACTTACAAATTAATTGCGTCTGCAGAGAGGAGAGGCAGGAATATTTTCCACAAGTATTTTTGTAAAATTGAGAAATTTTGTAGCACTGTTACCAAGTAACATATTTGCAGAATAAGGCTGAAGACAAAATATGGTTGAATTGTGGGATACTGTTCTTGTTAATGCGTGACGTTACCACCATGAATTCCAACAATCTTATAAGCCACATGTACACTTATTTTAATAATTGTTATTAATCGGTAATTTTAAAAAGTGTCAGCTGTTTCTAAGTCCTGTATAGTGTTTTTGTATTTGAAAGTGTTCCATGTTTGTATACAAATCAATGCAAAACTGGGGGGGGGGACATTGCATTAGTCTGTTCTGCTTCAGTCGGGGGTTTTCCTTGCTTCGGTGGCCGATTTGTATATCGCCTACATGTAACTGCATATGTACATAGACACACCTTGATGTAAATACATTTATTATGAAATTGTTAAGGTGACACTGTATAAAAATTGTATGGCCTCGTTTCAGTTTTTACCAAAGATCGTATAGTGCCGTGAAGCGGCGCAAGATGGCGAACTTCACCGTAAATACACGTACAACGTTGTAATCGCATAGGCGCCATTTGAGCAAGCGATACGCCTGCGCAATGCACATTAAGGCACAGGCGCCGCGGCAGGCACGTGCACCTGGTGAGCCTGCGCCCAAGCATTACCGTAAACTGCGCAGGCGTATTGCTTGCTCAAATGGCGCCCATGGTAATTACATCTTTTGGGCAGAGTTATCCATCTTGCGCCTTTGGCACTATACGATCTTTGGTTTATACTGTGTAGTTTTTTGTGTAATGCTGTTGTGAAGTTATTGTATCACACCGGTGCATCGGTCAAGCTTGGACTTATACATGTACCTGTATGTTGAGATTGAAATGCGAATGAGGGGAACTCTGTGGGCGGATCTTGGTTTGCAGAAAGGGAGGGGTGCCATGAACTCTCCCAAATCAAAACTTGAACTGGCCGCACCCATGAATAAGGGCAGGCTTCCAGGAAGAGATGGCGTGCATTTTGTGCAGAGCTTCTCATGAAGAGGGCGTGTCCATGAAGACCCAAAAATCCAAATTTTGAGTGGGCGTACCCAAGCTTACAGGAGGAGATGGCCTGCTATACAGTTTGCATTTTGTTGAGAGTTTCTCATGAAGAGGGCGTGGCCATGAAGACCCTTAAATCAAAAGTTTGGATGGCCACGCCCATAAATATTGACTGCTCGGTATAGAGTATACATTTTGCACTGATTAGGAGGGCGTGGCATAAAGTGACATGCTCCTTTTCTTGCCTGCAGATTAAGCCAAATGGGGAAACTCTATTACCTGTCTTGATGTGGTAGAAGGAATTGTAGCAATGCTGTAACAGAAGCATTTGGGGCCTTGTAAGGTTTGGACAGTGTAAAATGAATGAAGATTGACGATGTAAAAATGGATGGGAGAATATGTTATTTTACTCTACTGCAATTAAAAGAATTGAAATTGGAATCTGTGTACAGTTTTAAACTCTTGTTTTGTTGTTGTCAGTCACTTTCTGAGCAAGTCAGAACTTGGCCTGTATATTGTTTCCTTCACTAAAACTGAAAATCCAGATTTTTGGGGTCTAAAACTGCTGTAATCCTGCAGCACTTCCAACTCGCCCGAGGTTGTACATGCACATGGCGTATTGGATCACAAGTACAAAAGCCCCAGATCGGTGCCAATCACTGCTGAAGTGTATTTACTCCAAGAGAACCTGGGTTATCCTTTATAACCCTGAGCCTGTTTTGCCTGGGCTGTTAATCTGGTAACACAATCTTGGTATTTACTGAGGTTTACAATCGCCCGCAAGGAGGGAAACTGGAAAGAACTTAAAAAGAAAATCAACTCGGCCAACATTCAAAGGGAGTGACTGTGGTGTGGTTGTGGTAGCTGTGCTGTGGGGGGAGGGGAGGGTTGGGAGCATCCGAATAGTTCCGTGCCACTCAGGATTATGGGTAACCCGAGCTCACTTCTGCGTGTTTAGTCGGTGGTCGGTTCTCCCCAGAGCAGAGTGTGCCGTCGCTCATAATTGGCCTGGTCATGGAGCAGCTGCGCCTAGCTGGTCCGAGGGGACGAAGCTTGCGGAAGTGGCAAAAATTGTCCTTCTCTTGTGGTGTTGGAGATTTGTTGTTTTCTTTCCCTTCTTCCCCCCCCCCCCCGGAATACAATTCCTGATCTTTTTGATAAGTCCATGCGTGACTGGATAGGACAAAAGAACCATGCATTCCCAGTACATTTCTGTTTTTGGACCAGCTAAAATGTGGGAAACATTCATTTGATCTTTGGCAGGCTGCCGTTTTGATTTTTTCTCCAGAGACAAAATCAGAGCCGAAGAAAAAATAAAATAAAAAGTGATCAAAGAAATTGTGAAAAGGCAAAGTCTGTCAATATTTGTTACGCAAGGGAATTGTGGTTCAGACCTTGAAAGTGATGACAATAGTAGGTGAGTGTCTGTCAACCGTGAACCGTGATTGTACAATGGTCTTGCGGTGGGCCGAAAAGAATTGTTTATTCTGTCTGATTGATGGGCACGCTGTTGGAGTACTGAGTGTAGGGGCGGAGCACAACCTCCCACTAAAATTTACAGTGTTTTATTTTCTTCTCTGGGAAAGAGTATTCAATTTCATTGTCAAGTTATGACAACACCATTTGCACCGTTTTGTGGAATAAGGTTGGGGTTGAAAATTTCGCAGAAAAGCTGTCAGAAAAAGTGTACTTAGAGGCTCTCTTAAAAGGGTAGTGCGAACATACATCTCGTATGAATTTACTACTGCTTGAAATTACCTGACGTGCTACTGGTATATCAGTGTGCCATCCCCATTTGCACAGCCTGAAACTTCCTGATAAACCATTGTGGATAGCAGAAGATGTCATACAGGAACTGTGAAATGAAATATACTCTTGACGCATTTCCAACAGAATGGGCACAAAAAAATTGTGACTGAAAATGCAAGGATCTGCAATCACTATTGCAGCTATGTGCTATGCTTTTTTACCCCGTATCTACATGGCTATGTTCTAGTGAACTATCCAATTGGTTGGGTCATCGTCAAACATAATCATCGAGTAACAGTTACTGTAGGCTTTTTAAAACCTCTGAAATGATACAAAAAGTGGAATTGGACTGGCTGGAACTTATGATGAAAAATATGAGGAAAGATGACCATTACCTGGGAGTTCTTGTTCTTTGTAGTTATATGGTACCAAAAATATTCTGTTATTTTAATCAGAAGAATTTGGAGGACATCATTTTTATAATTTGACGGTCAAAAGTTCATCTTATGACTTTTGATTAAAGTATGCTTTGTTCTGCAATGTGTCAAAACTATTTCTTCTTCCGTTGGAATAAAAACAGATACTTCACTACTTCAGTATAAGTTATTTTTGAAACAACATAATGCTTTGATTGTGTATTGATAAATGACTGTGCTGTTTTTAACCTAATGTAAAGTTTAATTTTGCATCAAACTTTATGACATTTCATGAATGTGTGCCTAAAATTTATTGTGGTATTGTTATAAAAGACAAAGTGAAATATTTCAAAGTATTCAAGATGACATTTGTATTGTGTGTTTACATTCTATTCTGTTTTTCTCTAAAGAACTGATTGCTTTTAGTGTTAAACTTTGACAAGCAGGTCTTCAAGAGTCCAAGTGTACTTTCTCTTCTCACATCACCAAGAAAATTGCCAATGCATTGTTCAGCTTTTCCACTCCTTATAGAGCAATTGAATATCGTGAAGTAAAAACCTTTGTATCAAACGTTTCTTGTTTTTGAAACTACTTGCTGCAGACAATTTGATAAAGGCACCAATAAACCTTTGGGAAATAGTTTTGTGTCCGGTCGGAACACATCTACAGACAGAATTTACTTTTCCAACTACAGTTATGCAAGAAAAGTCAAGAGGGCGCTGTAGAAAAAAAAAAAAAAGGAAGGGTGATTGACACTGAATTTTTGTGCAAGTTTTGTAGATCAACAGAGGGGGTGCTTCATGTTTGTCAATCTGACTGTAGTTGTAGGGAATGAGCTGGATGAGATTGGATAACAAGGGGCCAACACATTGTGCATATTTTTGTGTGTGTGAATATCCCCGATCTTCAGTACTGAGTGATACGCAACAAAGTTCTGACTTCTTGAATTTTTTAGTAAAGGGAATTGAAAATACTATTGACATTCCCAGAACAACTGTATTATGACAAGATAGGAGTAACTGCTGGGAACAAGTCTATTTTGTTAATTGATCAGGAGACAGTGTTGTTGAGACCACCACAAGACCGTGCACAAGACCAGTCACAAGCTACTGGGTGAACAATGACGAAGGAGTGCTTTTGTTGCAGTTCAAGTCATTCGAATATCTTGTGATTTGAATTCAGACTGAGGTCTCGACAACAACACTGTCAAGAGCAGTAATTCCATGCAGGAATGAGATTGGACGGTTTACACTGGTTTCAAAGCCAGGCTTTGGCCACATCGGGGGAGGGGACTTCGCTGTCACATGCTCGATAATTTTGAACCATGCTTGTAAAGATGCTCATCAGTACAATTGTAGGGTACAGACTACTGCTCAACAAGACTGTTTCCTTCAACCCGAGACACCATTGGTTCCGAAAATACTGGCCTCTGCCACAGACGGTATTTCCCTGACCTCAAACTTGAATGTAACTCATTGGAATTGTCCCCACACTGTGACCAGCACTCGCTCCACACTTCTCAACATATTTTCACTTGATGGAATATTGAGACAAATGATCCTTAGGGTCTTAACCCTCATTTAGCAGTGGCAGTTCATGAAGTCTGTGTGGATTCTGACAGATTTATCGATGGAATTAACTGTCTTTCTCAGCTGAAAAAAAAAGAGGTAACAGTGTTTTAACTAGCTCATCCTTAACTTGGCGAACTTTCAATGAGGATTCGTGTTGCAAACTTTTAATTTGTTTAAACTTTCCAAACTAAAACCCACACCCCTGCTCCACCATCCCCTGGTGGTACCAGTACCTCTTGTAAGTGCTGATGCCGTTATCATCGTTCATACAAACTGTACAATCTTGTGCATACCACGGACATTGCATAAAGGTTAATCCTGCGGACCTCTGAGCAGGCACCGACCATAGATAATTTTGTAAACCCCCAAAGTAGTTCGGCCTTAGTTAGGAATGACATTTTAAAGAAGGGTTTTACATGTAGAACGAGTTTCCTCTCTGTAAATTCATGTCCTACAAAGATTCAGACTTGCTTGGAACTTTTCCTCAGCTTAGTTGATTTCCCTCTGTTTTGCTTCATTGTATGCCATTGTCCGAATTGAAAGTCTTGTGTGGCTTGAACTCTCTTGAAGTTTTAAATGAACCTACCATCTACGTGCCAGCAAGATAGTTATTTTCCTTATTTACAGCTTTGATCCAGAGAAGGTTTTGAATATTGACTCATTGATGACTTTGAAGATCCCCCTGCACCACTTGCATCTTGCTTCCCAAGTGTTGCAGCATTGTCAATGTCATAAATGTGTATGTACTTTTCCCTTTACAAGTAGCATTACTACCATTGGCACCGGCGTCATCGCCGCCAAAGAGCACCTTGCCAGGATCTGATCATCTGAGTCAACCAGATCCAGATCCAGATCGGAGTCACCTTGTCATCACCATTGCAACCACCCCACGTTCACCACAGCAGTTAACACTTTATCGTTGAAAGCCTGCCCCGCACTCAGATCCCATTGCCTGCTTGCAGTGTAACAGTTTGATCACAATGTGAAATAGAAGTGCCTTGGCCAAAAATAGCCCCTAGCAAGTTCTTTGCCTTCTGCCAATACGGACGACATTTTGACCATCCATAAGCAGACATCATTGCACGAGGCCCCGTAATTCTCACAAGAGCACGTGCCTTTGCACGAGATTCTTAACACTCTTATGAAACTTAACTGCCTGTCCAAACATTCAAACAACCCCCAAACTTCACTTACATCAGTTCTCCCTTAATTCCCCCCCACCCCATTATACCTGCTCCACTCTGTGATCTAACAATTCTGTTATCACTGTTCATACATTTATCCCCACTCAGCAAGAGCTCACTAATCATCACCAAGCAGATAGAGTCTTCCAGATCCTGTGACCACAAGGATTCCAACACTCTAACAGCCAGAGAGCTGTTATCATACAGTATTTACATCCCCAATCGTTCTTGTCGTACCACTGACAACCATCATAAGTGATTAACCGGTGTCCGCCCCCTTCAGTTTTGTAACTCTGTCTATATTTTGGGGGTAACGTGGTGTCCCCTGCAGTTTTAGGTCTGGGGTCACTTCTTCTTCTCCTGTGCATCGAGTAAGGTTCCTCTGGGAACTGGAAAACTTTTTTTTTCCTGTTTGGGAGAGGTTACCATTTTCTTGACACTATGAAGTGGTTCCTTCTCAGTGGGTTGTTCTTTTTCTTGCCAACTGGTAAGTTTTTACTCCTTTTTCTACATTTCGTTTTGAGTTGAATATTTTCTGGTCAAACTTTGAAAGCAACTTTGAGGATGTATTCGTCAGAATTTCAGTAATAGCTATTTCTCAGTTTTTACTGCACCCACCCCCCCTCATTTACAGGCTAAAACAGATCACAGATGGTTGTGAGATTTGTTCGGTTTTAAAATTTCCCCCTTGAAAAGAATTTCAAGGTTGTGTGTCCTGCTTTTAAAAGCAATAACTATGGGCAACCTGTAAGATGTGCTTAAAATATTCCTTTTCTTGTTATATGTTCAACGAGGCAAATCTTTCAGCAGAGAATATCTGTTTGGGTCTGTGAGATTCCTGAGGATCAAATATTTTGCGAAAATGTTGAAAAATCACAACTGCCTTTTCCTTATCTGTAGGTCAGTGATTCTCCCCTGAAGGGAGTTATTCTAACACTTGATAATAGGATATGTTCTTTTAAATCTGTAATATTGTTTGGGCAAAAGAATGGTTTACTGTAATGGAGTGTCATGATAATTAGAAAGTATTTCTTGATCAGCTGGAGAACTTTGTTTTCTGTCTTCATTTGTTACTTCCCATCACAAGCATTAAAATGTGACAACTGTATTTTCAGTGGAAAGAAAGTCCGCTTCCATTTGTTAATATACTTTTTTAATCTGTTGTCTGACTCAAGAGTTCACTTCCGTCTTTCTGGAAGTTTTTGTGACTCACAAATGTGATTGCAAATTCTTCATAAATACAATTTTTCAAACATCTTTGCAAAGGTAACAGTTGAAAGCATCACTTACATAATAACCAGAAGCTTGTACTTATTTATGAGGCCAGGTTTTGCTTGTTTAAGTAACTCAATTATTATCCATTTAATTAACAATTGACCTGTCTACAAGCTTAATTTTCATCACTTTGCTTTACAAAAATTAAGTAAAATGTAAAATACTGAGATGCTGTTGTGGAGGTCTTGTTCCCAACCTTCTCCACTTTTTGCAGACAATTGTAGGAATTACTAACCTGAAGAATTATCAAGTAATGTCGGTTAGAATACTCTAGGCATCTTGATGCCTGACTGGTGGGTTATATCCTCATAAGTTCTTGGACAAGGATTGCTTGCGAATGCAGAGGGATCAGATCCTGCATTTTGTCTAGGCCCGGCCACATTTACCAGCAATACAAGTTGCGTAAGTCGTTCACTGCAGAAGGTGGATTTCACAAACCCAAATCGCATTGGATAACCAAACTCACCAGAAAAACTGCAGACAAGGACAGATTTATTATTATCTTGTGTAAATTCTGTTGTGTTGGATGAAAGAATTAATTCCTTTAATTTGCTGATAAGAGCAAGGATCATTCAAACTAAAGTTTGCAGTTATCATGACAGAATTTGGCGATATACTTTGATAAAAAGCTGCTCTGTTGGATTTGATTATCAAAAAAACCTGATGTGGAATGTTACTTATATTAGTACTGGATTTGGAAACCAAAATGTTTAGAAAAGATTTGCAAAAACAGAACATGCTGTTAGGACAGTGAATTCGTTACAAGATTCCCCCCACAAACAAACAGCTCTAATGATCAGTGCACCTTCTTGAACTTTTTTGTCGGATATTGGAAGGAATATGCTTGTAAATTATAAGAACAGCTTGAAGTTCAAGGTTGTCCCTCCTTACAAATGAAGACAAATTCATTAGAAGTTGCTTACTGTTTGTACAGTTTGGTTTCTCCTCTGATTTGACTACCCTGTTTGTTGGCCCTCTTTAACTTCTCGTCTTTTTGTCAAAGAAATATCCCATAATAGTCTTTCCCATTTACCAGGATTAATGCTATCACCAAGCACCTGTCAGCAACATTTGTATTTCATCCACTCTATAAGAAAAATGAAGTGCTTTATCCAAACTTGTATATTAGTTTGATAAGTTACAGCATTTCGAAAGTGTTGAATCCAGCATTTTGATATTAAATCCAGCATCGTAAATATCAGATCCAATGTTCAAAAAGTTAATTCATCAGTTTAAGTGATGATTCATCATTAAAATAACTTTTCCTTGAAATAATTTCAGCATTTTAAAAGTTTTCAATTTTGAATGCCAGATGTACAGTTTAAATATGCCGAATTTAACATTGAAAATGATGGATTCAACACTTACAAAGTGCTGTCTGTGATTGAACTAGTTGCTGGATTCAACATTTGGTTTTTAGATGGTTATTTCTAATTTCTGCGTCATCTGACACTCAAACATCTCTCCTTTTCCCTGGCAGTTTTCAGCCAGAGATGTCCCACGGGCTGGTCCCTGTACCAGGACAACTGCTACAGGTTGTTCACTGACGGGAAAACCCAGAACGATGCCCGTATTGCTTGTCAGCAAGACCAGGGTGACCTGGCCATCATCACAAGTGTGGAGATGAATGTGAGAAATAACCTTCCCAACAAAGTCAAGCAAATACACACATCTGTAGGAACAGTCACAAGCCTTTGGGATGTGTAAATGATCCGCTCAGAGCAGGAACAAAAGAGGGCATGTTTTGACAAAAATTGACAGTCCTTTGGTACTCACACACCGCATAGGTGCGCAAGTGTATGAGCGTCTGACGCTGAACACACTGAGTACGCACAATGATTTTAGTCTAGAATGTGTGGTCTTTGCGTGCACGCCTAACGCGTGCTAGAACCCAGTTGGAAAACTTGGTACCATCTGTCTTTCTTTCGCTGGTGAGGGTGCACGTCAGCTCGGGATGGATTTTGATTTAGAGAGTGAAGATTTTCTATACAGTATCATGTGAAATGGTCAGAAACTAATGAAACTTGTTACATACTTTTGATGCTTTGATTCTTATTCCTATTACATACTAAAGGAAATGCAAAAGCAAACAGTTTTGAAAGAGCCCCCATTTCAATATTACTAGCAGTTTTTGAATATTCATTCCAAGAACCATTATGGTGTGGAACAATTGTCTTTAAACAGTTGTAGATTTAACCACTCCTGCCATTGTAGTGATAACTGCAGCCAACTCCAACATAACAGTTCAAAATAAAATGCACCGATTCTGCTCCCCTGAAGGCTCCCCTTGTTAATCTTGCCAGTGGAGAAGTTAGTCTGTTTGGTCAAATATAAAGTACCAAGGTCCTCATGCAGTTGTTTATCCATTTACTGATAAGTGTTAAAGATTGTAAAACATCATTTAATTTCAACCTCATTAGGAGCTTTGATTTGCTATAAAAATCAAGCTCTTATTACAGTTCAAACAACATTTGCCCTTGAGTCAATTTTATTGCAAGCATTTACATGTAACTGTCAGTGTGTATTCAAGTCCATCACAAGTCCCTGCAAGTCCCTGTAAGTCCATCACAATTAAGTCCATCAGAAGTCATTCAGTCTTAAGCCAATTCACAAGCTATTCAAATGAGCTGTGAGGAAAGCATTCTTTTGTCATCGTTCATCCTGTTACTGATGACTGGCTTTGTGAAAGGACTTGTGATGGGCTCCAATACAACACCGTCAACTATTCCTCCTGTCATTATGTAACGCTTTGAAAATGTTGTAATTAAGTTTGCATTCACCATTTGTGTAACAGGAAGAAAAGTCTGTCATTTCAAAGAGCTATTAAAGGCACAGTCCATCATTCACAGTTATTAAAAAAGGAACTGATGAAATTATTGTTGAATAGTATATTTGGATTAAAGATGGACTGTAGATTGAAGATTAAACTCCCTGTAAAACTATTCTTTTGGCAAGCTGTCACTTTCGAAAGAAATTTTTGAAGGAAAGAAGGCTGTTTCCCACAGTGCATCTAAAGATGCATTTTTGCAAAATTGCCTTTAAAAGTATACACAAGCGTAGACGCACAGACACTGAATTTGGGCACAATTCAAAACATGAGTCGGTAACTTTTGATCTGAAATCAAAATTGTAGAGTACTGTTTCTCTCGGAATATGTCGTATTCTCTGAGCTGAAACCTCATCGGGTTTGTTCTTTAGATTTTGAGTAAGTTTATTGCTTCAAAGGAATATAAAGAACAAATGACGGACTGTATCTTTAAGTACAGAAACATGCTGAACACCATTTTCTGTAATGCAAAGCTGTTTTTTTGGCAATCTCGTCTTTATTCAGTCATTTCTGGCCGATTTCACTGAAGCCGCTGGGGCATATGCCTGGATTGGCTTGACTGACACCCAGACAGAGGGTACCTTTGAGTGGATAGATGGCACCCCACTGGATCCTGCCCTTAAGTGAGTCTGCGGCCACATCTTTTTTGTTTTAACAGCTCCCTGCCATTTTGTTAGATTTTGAAAGCTTTTGACTTGACTGATGTAAGATGTGTCATTTTGGCTTGCTAAGTGCTCATATTTTGCCCTTTTTCCTTTCTGCTATCACCAGGTCCCTTCAAATGACACTGGTGGTCTACATGGGCAGAAAACTCTCCTCCATCGTAGGGGGACATCAGTTTGCACTTTTTTGTGCACATCGTGTTTATTATCTTATTCCACTCATAAAAACTCAAAAGGGAAAATCCTAGATCCATCAATTCCTTTAGTATTTTGCTTAAACATGGAGGGGACATGTGACATTGTGTTCCCCCATACCAAGTTCATGGGGGGGATGTCCCCCTGCCCCCTGGGGATTTCTGCCCATGGTGGTCTAGGTTTATTTGAGAGCATATAGAACATTTCATTTCCTTCCAATGCTGTCTTAAAATTGTAATTGTTATTCCTCTTTTTGATATAACAGGGTTGCTTTTGTTTATTGCTGTTTTTATTTTCACAGTGTTCTTTGGGGCAGCAGTGCACCCAATAATGACAACAATGAGGATTGTGTTGTCCTGAGAGCAAACAGAGTCTGGAATGATGTCTCCTGCTTTACTACTAAGAAGCGCATCTGTCAAAGACCGAACGGTATATGGCCATTGCATGAATGTGCTCAGCCACAAATAGAGGGTTTGCATGGCTGCCATCTTGCGGGCCAGTGCTTTTGTTCTGCGGGGTACGCCCAAGGGAGGTTTCTCTGTGGAACAAAAGAACTGCCCTGCAACATGGCTACCATACAAAGCCTCTGTCGGAAGAGGGAGGCACCACTTGTGAAATAGAGGTCCAAATCTTTCCTGTTAGACAAAGGGAGCGTCTGTCCCTTTTGCCTTATTTTAGAAATTTTGGTAAATGTTACCATGCCAAAATCGTTGTTCACTTCCTGCCATCTGTACATCTTTTGGGACAAACACCAGTTGTTTCTGGTATGTTTTAGTGAATTGAATGGCAAGCTAGGCCATGTGAATTTCATTTCCTTTTAATCAATCTTGGATGTAATTTTTTTCCCAATTTCATCTTTGTTGAGGTGTAGATAAAGTATTTGCAACTTATGGCACCATAAGTTTGGCACCGTACATTTTCCTGCACACTCAAATAGACATTTTTGGTATTACCCTTTAACTCCTAAAGAGAAGGATTAGAAAGACAATGATAAAATTTGCAGGGGACTCACACACAGCTCGTCAAACATGTTACAAGAAGACACAGGAAGACCTTTCAATCTCAAATGTTGGCAGATGCTCCACTGAGGTGTGACGAGGCCAACGGCTGGGTGTCGGCCGGTGGCAAGTGCCACAAGTTCCAGGACCTGGCCAACGCCTGGGACGACGCCCGGCGATACTGCCAGGAGAGAGACGGGGACCTGATCAGCATTCAGAGCTCCGAGGAGCAGAATCTGGCCTTTGTACTGGCTCAGGTCAACCAGGAATCCATCTGGATTGGAGCAACAGACAAGGTAATAGGCATATGTGGCTTTGGCACGGCAGCAAGCCACTGGTGATTTTTGTTTCATCCGGGGTGGGGTGGGGGAGTTAGGGTAAGGAGGCTCTAATTTTTCATGACTCTTCTGAAACCTGGAATTCATGCTGAGATGGGTGTACATGTATGCTCAAGCCCAAATGTCCTTGCTTGGTGCTTGGTAGAGCCTAGAAGTTGGGGCCCAGCATCCACTGGGGACCTATTCTTCATTCAGTTGCCGACCACATGTATTTCCTTGTCTAGTTCAGTGTTCTCGTTACAAGTTCAGTGTACTCATCTCGGGAATCTTTCAACATAAGCATGCACATCTTTCGTATTTGCATTCGCCTCTCATGTGACCATCTACATACTCGGGGTCATCTATATTGACTAGTCTAGTCATGCTTCTCACAACAATTAACTACAAGCCTAATTTATCATTCAAAGCATTTGTTCAGCTTTTAAAAAGTGTAAAAGCATGAAGTAAATGTAAACTAAAAAAGAGAAACAAATACAGAATATTTTATGTGCTCGCTTTTTTTCACAGATAAGCAACTCAGCTGGTCTGTACACTTGGCCAGATGGCTCTTCATTAAGCATGACAAATTGGGCCCCAGGACAGCCAGACAACCAGTATGCTAATCACTAACTTTTTATTTTAAAACTCCCCCTTGCTTCTCAAGAAATAGACCAATCTATCTGATTCTACCTAGTATGTCTGTAGACAGGTGGCAGTACCGTGTTCTCTGATGTTACATTTTATTTTTGTGCTTAATCTTATATCCTGCGTGACACTTTTAGTTTCTACTGATGTCTTGTACAGTGAAATTGTTTCATGGGGTGTAGGGTCGTTCTGTGGCTCAGCCTTTGAATTCTTTCCTCCCAATCTCTTTGGATAGGTTTTTCAGCCTGGGAGGGAACTGTGTCGGAATCCTAGACACATCAAACAATGGCGAGTGGAGTACGGCACCGTGCACATCACAGAGGAAATTCATCTGTGAGAAAGACGAAGGTACAACATTTCAGGTTCATAAAAAAGCAAAGCCAACCTCTCCAATTTCACCAAGTTGCCAAGCAGTAAATATTCATTCTGAAGTTACTATGCTGAGTAAAAACTGAGCTTCAAATTTAGAAAGCAGGTCATCTGCTCAACAGGGCTTTCCCACTGATCATTGGGGATCAGCCATGGTGGGTGGCAGATCACTGGCAAGAGAATCTTCACCACTCTGACATTCGGCTCCCTCTTTTTTTTCCTGCTGATCTTCAGGTGTCTGTCCCAGCGGATGGCGCATTCACGGCGGTCAGTGCTACCAGTTCAACACTTACTCCGCGATGAGTTGGACCGACGCCAAGCACACCTGTGAAGTGCAAGGGGCCTTCTTGGCTTCCATCTTCAGGTTTGTTTGTTAGTCCTATCATCTCTGTCTCATGTGCTGTTCCGGTTGAGACGTGTAGTCAAGATGGACACCACCAAGCCAGTTGAGCAGTTTCTAACATTGAAGTTTCTCTCCACTTCTCCATGCAGCGAGGATGAGAACATGTTTATTGTCCATCAATTTGATGATCTGACAAGCATTGGAATCACCGATGTCTGGATTGGGATATCAGGTATTTCTTATTTGATTCTCTGATGTTTTCGGATTGTGCTTTTCTAATGTTTTAAAGTTTTACAACAAAGATTGTGTATGAAAATTTCGTAGTCAAGAATCTTATTAGGGAGCTTGGCTTTAAAACATATGCTGCCAATTAATCTGCCAAAAATGCTGCCAAAAATCTGTTCTGTGTGGCTAGACTGTAGCTGGGAGATTTTGATAGTTGATTGGAAATGGCAGTACAGGTTGATTCAAGCAATGGTAACCAACCGCTTCCTTCAAAGTCTCACACTTATATGCATGCATTCCTATACTTCAAAGATCTTTCAAGATTTACCTGGAGGTTAGGAAAGACTTTGCAGGATTGAGGATGGTAGAGCCTAGCCACTGTTTACATGGGGCTTGATGCCTTAGAAAGTTATAGCACAGAGAGGATATCATTGGTTTCCTGCATGCTGCAAATTTCGGAGAATTCAGGAAGAATCCGAAGGAAAAGGTTCAGAAGGTTAATGTAGAAATCCCTAAAAATTATTTGTTCCTGTCATGTACATGTAGATTACACCACTGATGGCCAGTTTGCTTGGGCGGAGGGAGCCTCTGCGTCATACACCAAGTGGAATGCTGGTATGCCGGTCAACACACCCAACCAGCCAGACTGCGGCACCATCTACGTGGGTGAGTCAAGTGCAGTAAAAGTCACCCAAATGAAAATCGTCACTCTTAGTGCCCTTCAACAAAATCTCAGTCCAAGCTTTACTACATGTATTTGAGTCCCATGCCTTCACAAGTCACATGTGACACCCCCGAAGCCTTAGGCTTTCTTGAGTCTATGAAATGCACACCTAAAAATGCCATCCCCTCTCTATGCAGCAAACATTACGGACTGCATTATTGTTCCTTTTACAAGCAATTTTTAGCAGCTGGAAGTTCCAAAGATATTTCATTGTCCATGACTGTGTATTTTCTTTTTGTTATTCAAAGAGAAAGGTAAATTAAATTATCACTTTAGCTTCCTTATCCTGTTTTGATTAGTTTTGTCTTTCTCCCTATTACCCTCAAATTCACCAACAAACTCACAAGAATGTGTTTGCCCTGTGAGCATCACATCCAGACATTGTTTATCCATTGTATATTATGTGTTGAACCTTCCATTAAATAATCCCATCTCTTCTTTGATTTCTTTCACTGAACTATTAATCGAAGGTGACAGTACAGGTTCCTGGAGCAGTGCAAATTGTTTCCGTCCACAGTCGTTTGTCTGCAAAATCCCTGTTGGTACGTAAACCGACTTTCCCCGGTATATGTCAGTCAATGGTGCGAGGAGCATCCAGCTATCAATACTTAATACCCGGCTAAAAATTGCAGATACTAGGTTCTTTTCCCTCTTTCACTGCCCTGGACTTTCTTTCTGTAAACCAAGCACAACGTCTTTTTAGTCAATCACTGGTAACAAGTGACATAAGAGTGTCACTTTTGAATCTAAAGAATGCCTCTGAAATAACTTCTGGTTTAGACGCAGATTCCAATAACAGGGCATCTTACTCTTCTAATATGTTTCAATTTGTGCCACAATTAAATTCATTGAACTTCCAGTTTATTGTTTTGAGCATAGCCCCACATCAGCCCCAACGGCATATTGTGGCAGAAAACGTTTTGAAAGGGTTACACTCCTGTCTTGCACATGCAAAGCTCTCTCCCAAAGTGGACATATTTTCCAGCTTGCTAGATAGATGGCCTATATTTTACATGACAAGGTAGCTTGGAGCTGTATGCGTCTGCAGCACAGTTAGCATTTTATCATTCACTGATGGGTAAAATGAATTATTTTATTAATTAATTGATAGAAGTGCATGCTGTATCTATCATTCTGACAAACTTGTCTTTATCCCCAATAGGTCAGCCTGTATCCCCTCTGAATCCCATCTCTGGTAAGTATAACAGTTCTTAATGGAATAATGTACCAGAGCAATCTTGACACCAGCTTGCATAGGCTAAACAGCTTTGAACAAGGAAAACTTCCCAGAATTGATAGTAAATAATGCTTGGTATAATTATTTTTCATAACATTCATGTGTTATAAAAACATCCAAGCAAATGCAAACTGTCTTTTGACAGGTAGGACAGTTTGCATTTTCTTGGATGTAATGTTTTGTAATAATACTGCCTTTGACAGGTAGTAAGCATACAGAAATGCTGGTGGCCGTACATCCACACATAGTCTCTAATCATGAGGACCACGCATGTTTTACAGTGTCACTGTGAGGACCCTGAATGTTATTCCCACAACTCAGATAAAATTCTCCCAACAAAAGGAGCCTTTCGCACAACGTGATGCCAAACACAGCACACTGGTTTGATGATTGTATACATTCTTTCCATTCCAATGACTCCTTCCAATGATTTTACTTCAATCTGTTAGCAACTGCCATTGTTTTATTTGAATGGAATCTCCAACTGAGAACAGTTCACCAACCAAGGACCCAATTGTCCCAATCATACTTTTTTGTGTGTCGTCAACATGCACACACACATTTTTTTTTTCCAAGAAATTAATGTCAGTTCATCCTTTATGTCTCATCTTCCCTTTTTCTTGCTTCCTACCAGGTGTTGGCAACTGCCCGACCGAATGGAACCTGTTTGGCGACTCCTGTTACTTTATCGACAGCAGCCCCACCCTCTTCCATGATGCCGAAAGCATCTGTGAGGCCCGAGGAGCCAAGCTGGCCAGCATCCACTCGGCTGAAGAACAGTCCTACCTCTCATGTAGGTCCAAGACTCAATAGACAAATCGGAGGAGACGCCATTCCTGGGGGCCATCGCACTAATGCACTAGTCTTAACTTGAGCGCTTGCACACACTTTGGCGAGTCACTAAACCCTATTGGTTGGAGAAGAAAGTAATGCTTGCATCACCTGCGTGCGAACAGGATGGCCCCGCAGTAATGGCTTCTTCGCTGACTTATACAGACCAAGTGAGATCAAAGACTGTTGGTTAACCAGTGATTGATTTATGAGTGTACATTGTGATTGTGTCTGTCCTATAAATAAATGTTAGAGAAACAAATGAAACCAATATGTGTCATGAGACACCAATGCCACTTTTGAGCTCTAGGTCTTCAACAGAATCTTGCAAGTTGTACATTGATAGAAACCCTCAACACATTCAACCACATGAATATTCATTTTCAGCAGGATGCCAAATTAGGTGATATGTCGAAGCTAAGAGCTCAGTTTGCTCTGAGGAGAATTAAAGCAAAATTATTAAAAAAAAAACAGCTTAAGACTCATTTGTGGGATCCAGTCTCAAATGTACCTTCTGTTGGCAGGTAATCAGCTTTCGTAAATTTGCGGAGTCCATGTTTTCTGCTCTCTTGAATGTAAATTGTATTATGTGTCAGTTTTTGTTGTGAATTGTCAACAGTGAGAACGTCCATGATGAATACCAACTTGTGGATCGGGTTGCACGACCAAAGTAATGAAGGCAACTTTGAATGGCTTGACAACACACCGGTGAGTAGCATCTATCATACAGTATGTAGGGTTTGTGCCGTAAAACTTGGGGCTGATAACCTTTTTTGACTTGGTGAATATTTTCTATGCTTGGTAAATTCTGTGTTTCACGTAGCACGTGAAATTCAGTTAATCACTTGAATTTGCTAAGCAGAAAGAAGTTGTTACCTGCAAGCAAAGCAGGTTACCATACAATTTATATTCCTTGTGAGTGAGTTACCAGTTATGCTGGGTTTAGTTCATGCTTGGTTTTTGTCTTCACACCAACATTTGTGTTCATACTGTATTCCCTGTGTGGTTGGAGAGTTGAAATAAAATACAAGCTTGCCCAAGTGGGATTCAAACCCGTGACTTCCTGCCTACTAGTGCAGATGTCTTAACCACTCAATCAACAAGGCTTTCTGGGATTAGATGGCTGGCTTGAATCCAGTGCAGCATCGGGTATCGTATTAATATTATTCAGCCACCGTGATGAGGAAAGTGATGTTCCATCTTGTCAAGCACTTCCTTTTTTTGCCTCCATTTTGCAGTTGGATTTCACAAATTGGAACACTGGTGAGCCCAACGATTATGGCAACGGGGAAGACTGTGTTCACCTCCGCACCGACGAATTACAGGCAGGAACATGGAACGACCAAGCCTGCGATGTCAGCTATGGATACATCTGTAAAAAGGACAAAGGTAAATGTTCAAGGGGTCGTAGCTACAAGGGCAGAGGTCACTGACAGAAATGAACTTAACAGAGACTGTAACATCAACTATAGTGTCTGTGCATAAGTGTACATATATAAATTGTGTTGCAAGTTTGTGGTGATCTGGTGTAGTCATTGCCGTCATATTTCATGTACAGATGAAGTACTCTTGATTTCACCATAAATGTGCCCCATGGTATTGCTAAGTAAAACTTCAGATTGTGGCTAGGTATTAGTTAGCTTGAAAGGGTACTGTGAGTAAACTGTTGTAGTCTTGTACCCAACGTCTCTCACATTATGTCTTCCATCTTGAACTTGAAACCTGGCACTGATGAGTTGTGTCCAGCTGAGCCATCTAGCCCGAGTGCAAGCTCATGGGTTGAGTGCTGTGGCATCGGCTTAGTTAGCAGTAGGCCACAGGTTCGAGTCCCACTAAAGCTTGTGAACTTTTGAATTAGCTCCCTTACATCCCTTGGCACTGATGATCATACGGTCTGACATCTTGTGTATTCAAAAAAATGAAAGTTTTACTATTTTTTATTTATAGTGGTTTATTTAAATCATGATTCGCAGCTGGTAAGCTGAATTGCACATGATTTACAGTTTAAAAACAGTTTTACAGTTTAAATACAGGTTGAAAAATTTATCAGGATGGGACTACATTGCCCAGTGACCTCCAGGTCACCAGGAAAATGTCCTAACCAGACCAACAAGAAGCCCTCCAGGGAAATTACCTACCTGGGGCCTGTCGTTTTTTTTTTTTGGAGATCCGGATCGTGATCCTTAATTGAAAGTTTGGTTTACTAACACAAAATCCTGCCTAATGGATAAAAGCTAATTAGTCTTGGGATCAATGATTGAAAGTTGGATATAGAAACAAATATTGCCCTAAACATTACAGAAAGTGATAGCTGTTGAAAAGTGAAATTGCCTGTCGTTTCAGCGTGCGAAATTTTGGACACTACCTCCACGGACGACAACTACAGTTACCGTTACCACCCGTCCCAGGCCAACGTGGAGAGGGTGGAATTCAAAGTGAAGGCCGGCAGTGACGTCCATATCGGCCTGAGTGCGACCAGCAGTAACCAGCCTGCCATGTACGAGATCGTCATCTGCGGTTGGGGCAACACCCATTCGGCCATTCGGCGCTGCTCGCAGTGCCAAAATCTGGTATACGTCAGCACGCCCAATTTTCTGAGCGCCAACGAGTTCCGGGGGTTCTGGGTCAACTACGACATGAGCACAGGGCAGCTGGATGTTGGAAAGGAGGGCCAAGCGGACGCTTTTATGTCCTGGACCGACCCCTCACCTCTGGACGTCAAGTATGTGGGCTACTCCACTGGCTTCGGGCACGCGGGGGAGTTCCAGTTCTGCAACCTTTGTGAGTGAAAATCTACTTAAAACCAATTTTTAGACTGACATGACTATGACTTGCAAGATTTTTACAGAAATCAAAATGTGATAATACCATGTGATACCAACTCACAAATAAATTTATTCTGAGAGAAATCCAGATTTCAAGATTCACAGATTCAAGCGTCTGTGTTGGAATGATCTTCTCTCTATGGTTTGCTTTTTCTCCCACAGATGCGGGCGTTGCATCCACCCCTGTGCCAAATCCAACACGTAAGTAGTAGAAAAAAAGAAGGAAAAAGTTTCATTGTCTTGTAGATCACTAACTCGCTTGTTCAACCATTCTGGGGAGAGCTTGGGACAGGTTAATTGCTTGTATGTTGTCAGAAAAGAAGAAATCTTTGGCTCCTGCTGTGATAGTTTGCTTTTTAATGCCCCCAAGAGAGAAAAAGGAGGTTTAAAGTTAGGAGTTGAATAACAATATTTACAGAACATTTTTTGTCATATTTTTTAGGATCTCATGTCTCCTATTTCTGAAACCAAACAGTTATTGAATTGTTCGTACTCCCCAACTTATAAACTAGTTTACTTAAGGTATTGTCTTGTTGATACATACCTCAAGTGAGTGCCATTGGAGAGTTTGTAATACCAACCTTTCATGTTCATTTTTGAAGTGAATTTTCGACATCAAAAGTGCCTCTTACAGGACTAACTTTGTCTCTTTTATACCAAAATTATGAAGGAGAGTGTAAGATATGTTACCTTGTCTTCACATAGCAACTTTTGATGCACGGTGCGGGCTAGGTTGGGAATTTGATGCAACCACAGAGCAGTGCTACTGGTTTGCCCCCTCGGACTACAGAACATGGGCTGATGCCAGAGAGCAGTGCATGCTGGGAGGTGGTGATCTCATCAGTATTGTCAGTGCTGCGGAACAGACTTACCTCAATGGTACCATAAAGTCCTTGATATACAATTTTGCAACAGGAATAGTCGTTGGTAGTAGCATCTGCATCTTTTATTCATAGAACTACATTGAAGCAGTGTCATATTGGTTTAATTTCTGACATGTTAGCCTAATTGAGTTTCTAATTATGCCACATGTAAAATTTCTTGTCCCTTTAAAGAAACTTTGAAAACCTCTTCTACTAGGAAGTTTTTCAATGCTGGAAGGGGCTTTGTAATGTGCAGTTTTAGCCCGGTACATCTCTGTTTTATTTTGGTGTACACAATTTCCCCGTAAGTTTCTTTGACTTCTAAGAGCAAGATCTCCCATTCCTCAAATGATTTGCAAAATATGCAGCCAATTTCTGAAAACAGGGCTCTAGAAATTAGACCCACCCTCTACAAGTTTTTCAAGCACCCTTTCTAATAGAAATTGGGTCCGTAAACCATTTCTAAAATTGAACTACATCCTGGATCCAGCAACAATTGTCACCTCGAGCTATGTCTTGTTTTTGTTAATCCAGGCCGCATGGCAACTGAGAGAGAACCGCACGTGTGGATTGGAGCCAATGACATCTCTACAAATGGCGGATGGGTTTGGAGTGACGGGTCACCATTTAAATTCCTGAATTGGAATGCGGGTAAAGCCACTACCTTCATTTTAAACTGTGGGTGAATTCCTAATATGCATGAGTATAGAGGGTTTTCATGGCTGCCATCTTGCAGGCCAGTGCTTTTGTTCCACAGGGTATGCAAGAATGAGGTTTCCCTGTGGAACAAAAGAAGTGCCCTGCAAGATGGCTACCATTCAAAGCCTCTGTTAATCTTCATGATTCCAGTTGATTACCAAAAATGTACATTTTTTTTCGAATTGATAGGAGAACCCAATGATCAAGGTAATGGTGAGAACTGTGGTGAACTGTATACCAACAATGGTCGATGGAACGACATTGAATGTGCTCAAACGCAAGGCTATGTGTGCAAGAAAAACGGTAAGAAATGGTGCTCATATTCCTCTCTTGTAGTATTCGAAGAATTGCTTGAGCCGCTCTCCTTTACTGAAACTATTATCGAGAAAATTGTACATTGTACAGGGAGTCATACCAAACCGAACCTGTTGCCAAATATGTTTTTTGTTTTTTCCTCTTGTGTTCAGGCTACTTAGTCTCCCACTTCACCGTCTACCCTAACGCGTACCTGGCCAACTCAGACATCTTGGTGCTGAGAAATGTCTACCCGGAGCAGTGCGCCCACCGCTGCGTCATGGAGACGTCCTTCGACTGCCGCTCCTTCAACTACGACAGGACTAGCCGGGACTGCATGCTGAGTGACACGGACAGGGACAATGTCGGCCAGCTGGAGACAGCCATTGGGATAGACTACTACCAGATCGGTCAGTTGGCCCCTTTTCCACTGGTGTCACAGGGATGGGGAAGAACTTGCCTCCCCCCCCCAAAAAAAATGGACAAAAAAGAGAGGAAAGAAAAGAACAAAAGAAATGAGAAAAAAGGAATAAAAAGGAATGATAATCACCAGTTTGCTTGATAGTACTTCGAAATTTCCCCTGACCATCTTTCATGGTTAATAACTTGGCAGATTGCTGAATTGCTGAATGATTGCTTGGCACCCTTCTGGAAAAAATCTTGGCAACACCCATGGCCCTTGCTGAGCCTCGGTATCTCCCTTGGGGTCGTGATTGATCCACAGATTTCAGAATTGCTCAGAATCCCCCAAATTGTAGAGGTTTAATCATTCAAGTTTCATTAATGTTTTTGCTTTTCTGTAACAATTCAAGTGTAAGATTCACATATTGATCAATTTCATTCTGCGGTGACTGGCTTTTGATGGGACAAGATCACACTCTCATGGTTTAAATGTCATAAGCACAAAAACCATAGTAAAACACCCAGCATATTTTACTTTAACATTGCCTTTACTCAACATTGCCTTCAGATATTTTGTCTGACCATTTGTGCTTTTGGTTGGACATGTACCAAAAGCGATGGGAAAACCAAAAGTGGTCAGAAAATGGCAGATGTCTGACTGTAAGAATTTCACGCTCTGAAATAAACACATCTAGCCGACTTTAGCAAAGCTGTGGAAAGTTTTAACTTCTTTCTCCAAAATTTCACTGCAGAAACCTTTGTAGCGGCCACTTCATGGCTTGGCTTTGTGTAAACATGAAATGCAAGGCAGCATTGCTTACCGTTGCTAGGAGATTAGTGATGATATGGAGCAGGGTAGGCCTATTGAACACTTGTGTCCTAGCGCCTACGAAATGCTCAATCTGCCCCTTGATCAACACTGTCTAATTCGCTTTTTTGGCGGGGGATCCACAGTTCAAGGAGTTGCCCCGCCCACCCCGGCTGCGACCCTCCCACCCGGTTATCGTTGTCCAGAGGGCTGGTCAGGCTACGGCGACTACTGTTACCAGGCCCAGCCTGGGGATGGAACTTGGCAGGAGGCACTGCAAGACTGCAGGACCAAGGGAGCTGATCTGATCTCCATCCATGATATGAACGAGAATGACTTCATCGTGTCCGTCATGCAGCAAAGTACAGCTTCATTTGTACAAACTTAACAATTTAGATTTAGACTAGACTAGACTTAGACTTTTTGGGAGTTCTGTTACAATTTCTGTGAGGAAACCATGTTTGTTTAGGACATAGGTTTTCTTTTTCAAAGTTTGATGGAGATAAAAAAAAGAGTTGTGGAGATTACTCACAAAATTGCTTCCTTTCAAAATTTCAATTTTCTTGGCTACATGGAGTAAGCTAACAAGCAGTGTTGTAATCACAAGACCAGCAGCACCAGTCACAAGTAATAGGGTGAACAGTGACAAAGAAATGCTTTTGTTGCAGTTCATCTGAAAAGTTGGTAACTTGCAGGACTTCAGGTCTGGAGTTGGTCTTGTGATGGTCTGAAGAGGTCTCCACTACAACGTAGCTAAACAGTTCTATTTAGTTTCTTCATAGGGATCATAGCTTCTGAAGAACCTTAGCTTTCACAGAAATATTGCAGACAAAAGGCTTGTTGGTGTGTTTCAAATTTCTGTTTCGGATATTATTCAGCTTTCTCTTTCAAAGTCAGCTTACATTGTCTGTGGTGAACTTTTACAGCTCAGAATTACTGGAGCATAGACAATTCTTTCACAGAAGCTCAGCACTGTGGCCATTCAGTATCCTATTCAGGTATTAACGGTTTACACATCTCCAAGTAGAATTTTTTGAGCGAGGTTCATTTCTTTCTCTCTCCACGCCAGATGGACTGACCGGGCAAGTGTGGAGCGGCATGAGCGACACGGCCACATTCCTGACCTACGAATGGAGTGACCGCTCCCCTGTGACCTTTACCAACTGGGAAGTCAACGAACCCAACAATCACGAAGGCAAGAACGAAGACTGCGTGGAGGTCTACACTTCGGTATGTTACACGAAGGCAAACTGCCACCAGCATAAGAGCTGAATCTTGTAGCTTACATCTTGGCCTATGTGTAGTCTTTCCAAGGTGTTTCGTATTTTCTGTTGGACGGCTGCTTGTGCTTGTGTCCACCTGCTTTTCTCTTGTTTTGCAGGAATTCCTTTTTTTTTTAATTTGAAGTTTTCAACATTTTTGGTCTCTACTTCGTGCCATAAAATTCTGGCCAAATAAAACATTTAGTAAGTATGGCAACAAGGGTCACTGGAGAACATGGCGTCGTCTGAATTGAACTTTAGCCAGTAAAAATCTCATGTGCTCACAAGCTGCAGCTGAAGCCATAAGCCAGTTGCTTCCGTATTCCGCAACCACAACTTTTTGGACGGAGCTTGTCACTCGTGCACTCCAACACTGCCGGAGACATGCCACGTTCCATATTTTGTCCCACAATCTGTAAAATTGTGCTGCTTGCTAACCACTCGTCTGTGTGAACAACTCTCTCTTGATTCAGGGCCGATGGAACGACCAGGATTGCGAGGATCGCAACCATTACATCTGCAAGCAGATGAAGCAGAACCTGGGACCCACCCAATTCCCCCTCACCCCAAGCGGCTGCGACATGGTACGTTCATCAGTTTTGCCCATGCATTGCAAGGCAATTCACCCTTACTGGAATGTTTTCCTTGGAGTGGAGTGCACCCCTATCCCCCTGTTTAAGGCGCGCACTCATGAAGTTGGAGAGCATTTGATCGTCTGAATCTATGACCAAACCCACCGAGGGTTCCCTGTCGCAAATTAAACCTTCAACTGCTCTCCCTTGAAAGCTGACTCCAGCTACACTACTTTTTAACCGCTTATATGAGGCGCCATCTGTGTTTCTTCGTGACTTAAGACACTGATTGCGGTGGCACTCGTAAGATTTAAATTGTGTGGTGAAAGGTACCATGTTATAATGCTGTTTGATGTGTCAAAGCTCATCGCGATAGATTGAATGCGAGAAAGTACATCAATTTCGTGATAGTTCATTTATTAGCGGGCTCTTGTGACATCCCCCTTTTCACAGCATTTACTCAGTATTAGCACCCCCTATCCTTCCTTGCATATGTACTTTATGGAGATCCCCGGAGGAGATAGAGAAGTACTTAATGTGTTGAGATTAACTGGAACAGGAATTGAACCCTGAACCCCCCCCCTCACTCAGCATTGCAGGAACCTCACATTTGTGAGTATTCCGTTGGTTTCTACACTACAGGGTTGGGTCGCCTTTGAGTCGTCCTGTTACAAGATCGAAGGTACCCCAGAGATGTCCTGGGACCAGGCCAAGTCTGACTGTGAGTCCCTGGGCGGCCATCTGATCGTTGTCAATGACAGGTATGTGGTCAACCCAAAGAGCATTCTTTCAATGGAAAACCAGGACCCAAAGCACTCTTTTCTAATGAAAACAGTACTTTTGGATATTATAAGTAACTAAGAAAACTTGTCAAATTATGATATACAGCTAATATACCAGTCATAGATATGTGGAATGTCTCTCTAGAGGTATTGATTGATGTCTAAACCGATCTTTGCTTAGCGCAAAAATTTGGTTAGCGATAATTTCTACTGAGGAACTCCTGTAGTTTGCAAATTGTTCCTAGTCACCTGAGCTGTTTTCTTTCAACCCCTCCCCCCAACAGAATTGAGCAGTCCTTCATGTCCAGCCAACTGGGCCTTCAAAACGGCCAGATGTTCTGGATAGGCATGAATGAGGGGACCACCAAGGGCGTGTACCAGTGGGCCAACGGAGCACCAATCACCTACACCCACTGGGACAGGGGACAGCCGGGTAAGAGATACGTCTGCTGTTTTGAACACTGAGTGAAATGTGACAATCATTGAACATCCCAAAAGGTTCATTCGAAAATCTTGAGAGCTTGAAATCTTGCTTCTTGCTGGATCTTCCTCAAATGCAATTTTACTTTTTGAGAAAGATTCAGCCAGGATCAAAATGTCAAGTCCATATATTGTGAGTTCGTCAGATTACTCCAGTCGGTAAGCTATTTGAAGGAGTCGTCATTCCCTGCTTGTTTAAAAATGAAGCTTTTTGACCTTTTTAGAGCCCTGAAGAAAAGGATATAATCTGAATTGTAATGTCATGAAAAAGTAAGATTTAAGTTATTACTCTGTGGATGCTCTTTCCACTTGAAAGTAACTTTCAAAACTAGGCGGTTATGTACAAACGAAAAGCGTGCTAGATACTAAGGATGATACAGAGAGAGCAGATGTTTGTTTCAGCTCAGTATTCATTGTAAGCAAAGTTCTGTTTTTCTCACGTCGGCCAACTTTTTTAGATGACTCAAGGGGAAGCTGTGTGGCAGTCACATCCGGCAGTGCTGCCGGTCTCTGGAATGTCATCCCCTGCGACTCCGGCCACAACTACATCTGCGAGGTCTTGCGCGCGGGATACACCCCTGCCCCCGTGTTAACAGACCCACCTGTGCCGACCTCACCTACCAACGAAGGCTGTCCTGTGAACTGGATTGGCTGGGGGTCCAACTGTTTCAAGGTGATCACTTTAAATTGTTTTCTCCCTGTGTGGTTGTTGTGAAGTTTGTTTATTCACTTGTTTGCTAACTGGCTGAGTTGTTTTGTCTCTGATTTTGTTGTTTTTATTTTGTGGTTTTATCTGTAGTATTTGACTGCTTTGTATGGTGTAAATGGCATTCGTCACAATAATGGATGTGTATCTGAGATTTTCTTATAGTGAAACAACTTAGAATAGTTCTGTTCTCTGTGGATAGGAAGCCAGTCAGTTGCAGGCTTCTCCCAAGCTAATGTCGGTACCCATTAACATTCCTGGTTGGAGGGAAACAAGTTATGATAAAGTGGCTTTCCCGAGGATGTGACATGTAGCTAGCAGCGGGATTCGAACCCTCACCCTTTGATTGTGAATCTCAAGCCCTTACCATCGGGCCACATTCTCCTCACATCCCCCCCAAGAGTAAGAAATCTTGTATGGCCATGGGGGGTGAGATAAATCTGCATTTACCCTTCAGATCATGTTGTCGTTTTCATCATAGGCGTACGATCCAGTGGACAAGAAATCTTTCTGGGATGCCGAGGCCTACTGCAATAGCGTGGGAGCTCACCTGGCCAGCTTCCACCGCACAGAAGAAGAAGTGCACTTTGTCAAGAATGCAGGAATCTAGTGAGTTTACCATCTCATTGGGACTCAATGTACCCTCCAAGTCTTAAAGACCTGGGGGAGGGCAGAATTTTCCCCTTCCTGACAAATTTTTCCAAAATACCTCAATTGAATTTTTTTTCATATAATGAGCAGTAATTTTGAACCGATGTCATTCTCATACAATGCCCATTTTTCTGATACAAGTCCATCAAAAAAACGTGTAGGCCCCTCTCATTTTGCCTACAAGTTGTATGGGCAGCCAAAGTTTGCAGAATATCACCTGTTGGTTGGTTTTCGATTTCACCTCCAATTCCTCCATAATGGACATTCGTCTCATGGCTTTTAAATAGGGTTGTATTTTTATTTAGTATTGAGTAGCGTGTATTATTATTGGGTGTTCTAGTAGCTACGTGGTATTTTTAACAAATTGTTAATTATGTTACTATTGTACCGACGGTCAAGGAAAAACAAAACCGTGACGTCACTCCATTGACGTTTTCAGTGCATGTAGGCCAACTCACATGAGGCTGTGAACTTCAAGTGACCATAACAAAACAACCATATCTTGAATTGGACTGAAACTTCACAGCGGTACTGATAATGAGTGTCTCTACATGCATGTAAAGTGTTTAAAAGATGGGGCACGTGACAGCCAGGTTTGTGGGTTGGGGAAGGAGGGGGAGTGGAATCTCAGATGTATGGTGCGTGAAGAGATCGTTATACAAGTCAGCAACACTAGCCTACGGTTTTGGGTCCAAGGCGGTTGTGGTAGTTGCGTGAATGTAATTGTGTGATGCTGACTCCAACTGTCCGCCCCCTGCACAATGCACGATAGCAAGCCAAACACCCATTGCATATCTTTTCAAGTCATTTCCATGGTACCGTTCTTCCTTCTTCACCAGCAACCAAGATACTTTCTGGATTGGTCTCCATGATACCCAAAATGAGGGAGGTAAGAAATTGTACAACTCTTCATTGTGATTTTGACTTGAAAACACAGTCAATGAACCAGGTTAATGCACAAAATGAAGGCTTTTGTAAATAGGTTTGTTGATTAAAACTCCCTGTATAATTATTGCATCCACTTCCATAATTTTTGTGGTACATACGAGAGTAAGCTTTTGTACATTTATTGACGTGTATATTTTTAAAAGCTGTAAAATTGGAGTGCATGATGCCTGTGCATGAGGTCTTTTAGCCTTATTTTTATATTGAAAGGTCCCATTTTGTTTCTCTTTCTGTCCCAAAGGTTTCGAGTGGACCGACGGCTCTGTCCTCCAGTACACCAACTGGAACGACGGTGAGCCCAACGATGCCTTTGAAGCCGGCGAGGACTGCGCCGAGATGTTCTTCAGCGGCACCGGCTGGAACGACCAGAACTGCGAGGACCGGCGAGGCTGGGTCTGCAAGACATCTCGAGGTGAAACAGACAGTTCTCGATGGCAATTTTTCTACTTATGAAATTCCTCTACTTAGGAGTAGAATCTGCAAACCTTTGTACCTCGTCGGTCAGTACAGGGGGTCACTTTCATGTAAACTCAATATAGCCAAAGGTGGAAGTTGAGGGGTTTGGAGTGTAATCCCTATTGGATGTCTACGCACCCTCCTCCCCCGACCTGGGTGCCTTCATCTAAAACAACCTATATACAAGCCGAGGGTTCATTATTTTCCTCCAGTTAAATTCTCTGTAAACCAGTTGCCTCCCTGCCAGAATTTCTCGTCCATTTGTGCCACCATCATTCACAGGGGCATCAAATTCTGCCACCCAATGTTTCTCATCTTGGCTCTTCCCCATTTCCAGTGCTGGGCTGCTCGGACGGCTGGACACAGTACGAAGATCAGTGCTACTCCTTCCGCTCCCAGATGCTGAGCCACGGGGACGCCAGAGCTGCTTGCCTGGACGATGAAGCCGACCTGGTCACCATCTACAGCGCCAGCCTGAACGTAAGACAGGGACCCCAAATTTGTGACACAACCCAGCAAATGAAGCACCATTCATCAGTTCCACCTTTTGAGATAGAGACCTATTCAAAGAATCTTACACAATGTAAAACATATGCCGTTTTTGTCGGAAAGCCAAACTGAGCGACACATTAAAATAAAGGGTGCATTTTGCTTTCTCTACTGCAAACTTCAACAAAACTACTGACAAAAAATGAAATGCCATTAAGACACATTTTGTGGGATTTGGTCATATATGGTCAGATCAAACTCTTGACCTACTGTCTGGGCACTGTTCCTGTCTAAAAATCGACCACCGTTGTTGTTAAACCATGCACAGTCTTTCTTGATATTGTTTTATAAATAAATAAGTAATTAAATCAATTCCTCTTCTTTCCCTTTTCTAGGCATGGCTCACTACCAATATTGCATCTACTGGTATGGATCACTGGATTGGCTTGCATGATCTGACCGATGAAGGCAAATTTGAATGGGTCGATGGCACGCCGCTAGACCCAGTTCTTGAGTGAGTTCAGTTTGGGAGAGCTGTTTTTTTTTTCCCACTAATGTCTTAACGTAAACCAATACAATATGGGTGTATAGATTATCTTTGCCTGGTGCTCTTTCGGCAAAGGGCACATCCTTCAGGGATGAAAGGTTTCTAGTCTCTTTTTTTCTGGCAGGAATTTTTGGGACAGTGGTCAGCCGGATAACTACGGCAACGTGGGTGAAGACTGCACCGTGCTGAGAACCAACGGCCGGTGGAACGACGACACCTGCACCTACAACAAGGCGCATATCTGCCAAAGGCCCATTGGTGAGTCATCCCACCTCGACCTACCCCTGGGCTTGATACACCAACATGAGACTTTACCAAGCACCTGCACAGAATTAGAAACAGCAGAAGACGTAATTGGTCTTTGTGTTAAAATAACTTCCCAACTTAGTCCTAGTATGCAACGTTTCCTTGGATCAGCTCATTTCCTTTTTTTTGACTTTTGGTGTGAGCCATTAAGAATTTATAATTGTGTACAAAGCATGGAATTTCTGTTTCTTGCCAATTACCTTGGTTGTAGTTTAACTTAGCCCGTATCCTTTAGAGATAAAAATAGTTTCATGTACACATATTGTGCATATCTGTTGATAGTTGATTAATGCCTTGGTCTACAGGGTTCAGTACCTGCCACATTTTAAAGGGCCTCCTACCAACCACATTTTCCCCTTGATAACAAACCACAGTATGAGGATTAAGGAGATGGTAACACAATCTTTGACCAACCTTTTAAGTTACTTGAACCTTGGGTGTAACATAATTAAACGTGTCTTGGTCCCTGGGTATCCCACCAGTGGATTCCCTCCCCAGCTTGTACCCCACCTGCCCCTCTGTTCAGAAATTGGGGGGAAAAAATCTGGCGATAGTCTGAACATGAGTTCCCCCTCCCCCCCTGCAAAATGTACCCCAGTTACTCCACTGCATCCCACAACCAAATAATCTTGCAGTGTGTTTGCTAACACAATAGTTAAGGTGCATCTCTGTGAATCTAACAGCTCTTCTCCCCCCTCCTTTTCCCCATCTTTGAAGTCTTGTGCCCGGATGGGTGGAAGCTGCACCAGGGCCGGTGTTTCCGATTCATGACGGAGACGCAGCCGTGGAACGAGGCCAGAGAGACCTGCCGAAGCTACCAGGGTGACCTGGCCAAGATTGCCAGCGTGGAGACCAACGTAAGCGCCGATGGAAATCATCCTGCCACTGTCTTTAACATTGAGCATTTTGGGAACTATGCATTTTTTTTCGAACTGAATGCTCTAAAAAGAAAGAAGGAAAGAAAGAGGTTTTGAATTTCAAAGTTTCCCTCAAAATTGTGTAAAAATTCTAATCTTTGCTTGAACATTTTTGCTCGCCAGGCCTGGGCCGGAAAGTATGTCTCAGAGGCTGGAAATGGTCACTACATTGGCCTTCACGATCTGAGTAACGAAGGCCGCTTCACATGGACGGATGGATCCCAGCTCGACCCCAGCCTTGCGTAAGGGCAGCTTTAAAATACAAATTTGGTCTGGGAACGTCTTACAAGGATATCTTGCCCGTCAAGACCTAGTGCAGTACATTGTTGAAATAAATTGAACTTACGTCCTGATATCCAAGATAGTGCTCAGGCTATTTCTACTTTTCTTTATCTTCTTCAGTTCTTTGTGGGCAGGCAATGCCCCCGATGACTTCTCGGATGGGGAAGACTGCGGCGTAATCAAAATGAATGGGAAGTGGGAGGATAACCGCTGCTCGTACAGAAGAGCCTTCATCTGCCAAAAAATGGGAGGTGAGCTTTCTGACAGTAAATGGGTTGATGCTCGTTTGGTCACCAATGTCATTTTTCATCCACCCCGACTTGAAGCACCCCCGCGCTGGGAAAGAAGATTAGAATCGTTTCAGGCTGGCAGCTGGTGCACACAGGTAGACTGTACTTTTTGACAGAAATTGGTTTTCTGTGCTCAGCTCGTCCCATGCCGAACCGTAAGACAGTATGTGCACGAGTTGAGTTCCCTGCAAAGACCTGTCGTAGCTAAAGCATGCCATCTCTGGTTCCAGCAAGGAGGAGATTTCACCTTTTCACCTCAAGTGTGAAGAGATGAAATGGTCGTCAGAGCAAAGCGCAGTGAACATATCACACCCATACCGCAGTCGTTGCACTGGCTTCCCATTCCTCAGTGTATTCAATTCAAAATTCTTCTTTTCGCATATAAAATCAGAAATGGACTTGCACCAGCATACCTCAAGGATCTCATCAGGCCAAAGGTCTCAACCTCATCCATCGGCCTCCAATCTCATTCCACTTCACATTTACATCTCTCTCAAGGCCCGTGCACCAACACCCGTTATGGTCAGCAGGCATTTGCTGTCGCTGCACCTACTCTCTGCAATCGGCTCCCACTGCATATTCAAGCCTCATCTACAATAGACACATTCCAGACTCAGCTTAAGACACAGTAATTCAAAATTTGATAGTGCTCAGAAACACCTGTTGAAAGCGCTTTATAAATAATAATTTATTATTATCAGTAGTATACTTTTAGACAAGATCACATGAGTTTGTGTGCTTCCTGCATTGCGCATGTTTGTAGGTTTGTTCTTGTTTCATTTTATTACAGTTTGTCTTTTTCTTTCACAGTGTCAGTTTGTTCAACTGGATGGACTGCTTACCAAGGCGATTGTTTCATCTTCAAGACGGCCAGCCCGGTCAATTGGAACAATGCTAGGGCCGACTGCCAGGCCAGCCAAGCTGACCTGGTTGTTATTACCAGTGTGGAGATGAACGTAAGAAATGTCCACCAGATCAAAACAAAAAATAGTCAATCCAATCAGGCACGAGTGGCCAAAATTCACACAATCTGGATCTTTTCATGAACCAAACCTAAATGGTGATGGATGAATCTAATGGCAAGAAATTCCAGGGATGTCGTTGAAAGCTTCGGTAAATTTGAAAAACCATCAGGGAAACTGGTGAAAAAAAAGTTAGGCGGACACTGGAGAGAATGTACAGTTCCCACCAAAACTACAGCTCTTGTTTCAAGTTTTCATTTGAATGTGCACAAAACCTTCACTTTGGCCTTTTCACTTGAGTTACCAGACATCTTGAAGGTTTTTGGGACACCACAGACCACAAAATTGTACTCAAGAGTCCACATTTTTGGTTATTTTTATGGTTGTAATTAATTTTTTGTTCGGTTTATATCAGACATGGCTGACTAGTTATGTGTATTCTGGTGGTAAGATGCACTGGATAGGACTTCATGATACCGACCTGGAAGGAAATTTCTTTTGGGTGGACGGTACCCCTCTCAACGCTGGCTCCCCTCTAGCGTAAGCATTGGTTGCTTTCAGACAGGACAGTTTCATTTTAAGCACTTTCTCCAAGGGCTGTCCAAGTGAATTTCTTGTTGCGCACACAGAGTTCATTGATGTTGGACTGTCATTATTACCCCCAAGGAAACATTGAAGACATCTTGATAATTACCTTGCTTGGTTTTTAACTTTGAGCTATGGTGTGGTGTTCAGATGGAAAAGTTCCAACATTTGACGCAAATTTTCTGCAATGAATACTATCACGTCAACCTCCAGGTCTCTTTGGGAGAATGGTGCACCAAATAATGTCGGTCAAGATGGTGAAGACTGCGTGGTGATCCAAGCCAATCAGAAGTGGGGCGACATTGATTGCTCTGTGCACAAGCCTTTCATCTGCATGCGGCCTTATGGTGAGCGGTTCTCACAAATTTTGTTCCATTTGAGAATATTACCCACTCATTGCAGTTGTTCTGCCTGTGTGGGAAAAACTTCAAAATGCCCACTGCTGGCAGCCTACAGTCAATCCCTTTTTTTTATATGAGTGCTGAAGAGAAAGTGCATTGCTGTCATGAAGATACATATTCAGTTTTAAAGTTATCGTGCCCTACACTTCCAACACGAATTAATTGCCGCTGCTGTCTTGAACAGGTCCCACAGCGCCCATCTAGAATTACTGCCTGGAGTCTAGAGTCAGTGCTTTTCACCAGTTCAGGGGACTTTTCACTAAAATGTGGGTACCCCGTCAAACATAAATCAGACTTAGAGGTATTGTAATACTTTTGGGCAGAATGTATAATTTTCAGTTAGATCAGGGCTAATCCATCGGCTTTGCTTAAAAAAGCTGGTGGTATGTGAACTGGTTTTCATGTCCATGTGACAGGGTTCTCATGACAAATTTTCAGTGGAATGTGTACAAGTCTACACCATCTGTCTACGAGACGTATGCACCTGACTGTAGGTGCACAACATGCATTGGAGTTGCAGCACCCTAAAGTAGCAAATGATTTCCCCTGGCACTGCTCCAAGACATCATTTGGATATATTTGGAGTAACGTCATGCCTACTCTAATGCGATGCACCAATTCCGAAACACAGATTCTTCGAGATGAATCATTTAACTGGCGAAGAAGGGCCTCCAACTTTTGACAGATCTTTTCTCAGTGTTAGTAGTGACTTAGCCCTATGGGTCCTTCACAGATTTCATCTAAATAGAACAGGATAACAACTTTGAAATTTACACGCGAGAGACAAAGTTTTTTTTCATTGAAAAGAATTAACTGACACACTGGTGTCCTCTTAATTAGTTGTTACTTTTCCTATTAAGCCTTCCAGGAAAAAAACAAGGTGACAGTGAGCGTTTTACAAGATGTACTCTTGGGCCGGGAGATGTTAAGTTTGATTAAGGGTTTTGCCCTTAGAGTAAGCTTTGTACAGTACCAAATTATCACATGTTCAGCTTCAATTGCCCTCCTTTCTTTATGTACTCGTTGACCTGTCATTGAAGAGGGATGATTCACGGCCCATGATTGATACAAGGGGTTGGCCCAACTTTGAGAGTCGGTGCCCCGTGCATTGGCGGGTGCTGCGGCGAGTCACTGCCAGATCCTGTCCTGTCGTCGTCCTGGCGGATGTGCCTCGTTAGGTCCACAGGACGTACAATCACGGTGCAGCTTCTTGTCCCCTAGCTGTCCAAAAAATCACTGTCCCCTCTCCCTCTCCTTACGCCCTCCGATATCGTGGCAGAAAACCCGCCGTTCCAACCGCCGTGATTTGCTGTGGAGATTAAAAGAAAAAGTCTTTCCACTGCTGGAGATAATGATGTTGAGCCACCTGTAGATACAATTGCATGTTTTCTGCATGCGATCTTGATTCCACCTTCAAACTTTATCGCATCGTTGAGTTTGGAGGCATTTAGCTTTTGTTTCACCAGCAACTTGGTCTCATCTGGAGATGTCCCCATAGGATTAAGTCATCAAGTTTTGACATGGCTACGTAAACTTGTGACATCTCGGACAAATCATCTGGGGACTGGTGGCCTGCAACTTGTGAGAAGTTTGCAGAAAAAATGACTGTTCTGCGAAGGGTGCCTGGGACTGGGATGTCCCATTTTTTTTGATGTTCGCTCACAAATGGAGTGATTGATGGGCATAGCTTACGGCAGTGACTAGATACTATGTAAAGAGCTTTGGGATAAACCACCTGCACACAGCTTCAATGAAGCTCTGTCAGCAGAAGCTGTTGTGTCTTACATGATAACGCTTGACATGGTGGCCATGGACAAGCTGAGTCGCTAGGTCCGTGAAGCAGTCTCTTAATCAACAGAGTCGGCTCTTTTTAAGGAAACAGAAGTTACGCTCGACAAGAAGTTGTCAACGAGAAGTGCAGTGATTGATGATCCAGTGCCCGTCTTCAGTTGACGCCTCAAGTTTTTCAATATTGGAAGTCATCTGTGGCAAGATTTTGGGGGGAGATTTTAGAGCGGCTGGCTTATATCAAACTGCATGTACGTGGAGTTCGATAGTGTCAGAAGGAACGTGATCCAAACACCATCCAAAGGACGATAGCATGCAAGAAATGCAGAAGTTTGGAAGTCGTATTCATCAAAATTGTTTTGAGAGATAGCTGAACTCGGATAGAGGCCAGAAAAAGAAAATACTTCTGCAGAAGAGCAGAATGAACAATTGTTGGACATAGGGGAAGTCACATCCCATTGGATCCTCACAACGAGTGGATCAAATTATACAGTTTTAAGGAGGTAGTGAAAACTGCAAGAAAATATGGCTGGCAAACAAGACATTCACACGTGCCGGCTCAGATGGCATCGTGTAACGTGGAAGTTATCCTCTCTCTCTGTGATAAGTAGCTGGCTGATCGTCGTAGTGGGGGTATGCCTCCAAATTCTGCCCGTTGTGGGACAATCGGTCAGGGCCACCACACCCAAACTCACCGATAGCGGGAATGACAACACAACTGACCCAACGATAAGCACACCAGCCAATGACAGTGTGACTGCAGTATTGGGCACAGACTGGTTACCAACCACATTGTCCGTGACCACAAAGTCACCTGCAACAATCACAACATCAGGAGGAAGGACAAGTCACGTTTTATCTGGAAATGCAGGGAATGCATTTGAAACTCCCGTCTTTGGTAGGATGTGCATGCTGCCAATTTGTTCCCCAGTGTTCTTCTCAGAACCACACATACTCATAAAAAAAGAGAATATTGTACATGGTGTAACCGCAAAAATCCTTAACTAATTGTCGATCCGCCATGCAAACCTTCAAGCGCTACCCCAGTGTCTTGTTATAAAAATATTTCAGCGAAAAAAACGTAACCTTCAATCACATATAAGCTACTCAAGAATCCACGGGGAAAGAAATTCACATGCCCAGTGTGTCTTTAACCAACAACCTCCATTCTGTTCGAAAATTGTTAGCCTCTGTTCTTTTTAGTACACCAGGGTCAGTGTAGAAAATTCACTTTAATATTAGCATCATTGATGCCACAGTTAGACTCTGATCAGATGTTGACAATTTTATGATTGTGAATTTCTTCATGCTCTGTTAGGGAGCAAGGCAAACATTCTTCTTCTCTTGCCATTTTTGCCAATTTATAAATTATATTCGAAATTCTTTTCTATCCTTGTTAACAGGTGAGATACCGTTTACAACCGCAGCACCTGAATGTGAGTATGCAGTCAACATTGCTTTTGGTATTTGACGAGACATTACAAAAATTAACCGAGTTTAGACTGGGCATGTGATCCCCATAGGAGGGCCTCATTTTACTCCAAAATCAACCCCTCATCCTCTCCAAATTCTGAAAGCGACACTCACCCTGGCTCTTTGTTTCCTCGTAAATCTCAGAGCCTCAGCGTGCCACTGGAATAGCCGCAGTAAGGATTGGGGAAGGCAGTTCTTACCCCTTTGATGCATTGATGTGCACATTCCTGGTATTGTGTGGAACTAACGCACCCTTAACCTTCCCCCCAGGGGGAGAGATAAGATGGATATGAATCAGTGGCAGAATGGGGTGAACCGAGTTGCCTGTCGGAAGGAAATCCAATAACATCCTCATTACTGAGCTGGAACGGGTCAAAGGAGGGGGGTGGGGAAATGGTGAAACATTCCCAATGCCCAGTAAGATAAAATTGAGTCAGGAAAAGAAACATGTGTATCGGTAACTATTTTTTTGAGTTAAGACTGAGTGATTCAGATTTCAGTTGCTAGATAAATGGTTGATAAAGGGAAGTGAAATTTAATTGAATTTAATGAGTAATGATCCAAGGACAAGTCATCCTTAAATCGATTGATGGATGTTATCTGATCCGGCCTCTCAGAGGAGAGAGAACTATACCCTCACTTTCTCCAGTTCCTCCTTTCCTGAAATAAAGTCGCAGCAAGAATGACTTAGCCTTCTGGAATAGACCAGAGAGGGATCTCAAAACATTTACCTCCGCTTCAAACTCGAGGCCTCTTTGGCCTCTTAAATCCAATCCTTTGTTGCTGCAAATCCAGCTCGTACAGACACACCGAACTATATTCGGCGGAAGTGGTTGTATTTGACAAAGACCTCAATGCAGAAATGCACAAGTTGTACCAATGGCCCAACAAACTTGAGTCACAAGTCGACAGAGCTCTTTTGGGATCCGAAGGCACTGAAAAGAATCTCACGCAGTGTATACCAATAGGAGCCATGGCACTTTTCACCTACGTTTCCAAAAAGGATGCCAGGCTCAGTGTTACATCATAACATAAGATCTCAGTTCCCTCTTTCTAATGTGCGCTACAACACCAATCCTCGAGAATTCACCCGTACATTCCTTTGTTCTCCTGTGGGTAAGGAAACTCAGGGAAAATGCTCCTTTTTCTCCCACTAGGATAACTCCTTCAAGCTGGGGTTTTGATGATGACTTACTGTAATGTTCCTCTTCATTTTGCCATGGATGACCCTGACCCCAAAACTCCTCTATCTGAAGCTGTTTTTCAGAGACGTGTGTGTGGATGTGTGTGATTCCACACAACAAAATCACACCCTACATTATGTGGACGTCTTTTGTGCAGAGGTCCACACTATGCATGCCATTCCTGCACAGTGAAGCACTCTGTATACACCCATAGACAAAGGGAAAAGAACCCAGTCCCAAACAACTTAATAGTGGCTGCCAAGGTATCGTCTGTATCACTTTGTGCCCAAATATTCCTCTGTGTGGATCCGTTTCATTCTAGACCCTCCATGCCCGACTGACGAGGCCTGGATCCTGAATGGTGATTCCTGCTACTTCTTCAGCTCCTCCGCTGATCCGACGGAGGGCAGGAAGAGCTGGGATGGGGCGGAGCAATGGTGCAATCAGAAGGGTGGCCACCTGATATCCATCCATGGAATGGATGAACAGGACTTTGTCAACCTTCAGGTGCAAACCCCACATTGTTGTACTAGAGTTCCTTTCTCCCATGTTACAAAAAAACAGGTTAAAACCAACCCACCCCAAACCAGTCCAAGCCAACCCAACCCAACTCAAGCCTTCCTCCAAAAAAAGTGATTCAATGGTATCTCTTAAAGGTAGGAAATTATCAGAATAGACTCCGTTGAAAAATTTCCTTCAATTTCTGATGACTTCCTCAAATTTGTTTTTGCGTTTCTTGAAACAGATCCCTGAGATCTTTGAATTCTTCCCCAAACAAAATAGGTCCTTTATAATTCCCTTTCTCCCACAAAATAATTTAAGAGTCCCTCCTCTCAAACAGATCCCAAACCATGTCCACACCTGTTAACATTTTCAATGGTTATGTAGGAAATGAAACTGTATCTTTGGCGGTCGTATCCTGGGTCAGTGACAGCTGTTGAACTGCTTGAGTTGGCTGTAAGATGTATCACTCTTCCAAATGGGTGTATCAAAAACAAAAAAATACTATAGTTCATTGCAGTATTGGTTAAGCTGATGACAAGCCCATTGGAGCCCACTCTCCAGTCAATATGCCAATTGGGTCACAAATAACTTGGTATGTCAAAATGAAGAAACAACTGTCACTAATTATTTGGGATAACCTTGGACTTAACCTAAGAAGGGATGACTCTTGATAGACTTCTGTCAATTCATTTTCCATTCCTTGGAGTGTGTCAGCTTCTGAGGTTTTTATAGACGAGATTTTCAACTCGGTTTAGCTTGACTCTGTTAATGTACTTCATCTCAAAAATGTGATCCAAGAATCAAAATGAGGTCTAGTTACCACACTCCCCTAGCTTTACATCATTGTCAGATTTATTTACCTTATACACAGGTTGAACTGGCCAATGTGGATTCATACTGGATTGGAATTAGAGAATATGAAATAGAAGGAGTATATTAGTAAGTAATTTCAACAATTCAAAACTTTGGCGTTTGTTTTCACTTTGAAATCTGGCTATTTTTCATTTGCCAATTGTCCAGTTGTAAGCATTTTAAAAGTTCTAATCCTTTCTATGCTTTGAATCAGAGCAGAAATCTGAGCTGTAAAGTAGCTCTCCCGTTGTGGTAATTAACCCCAACTTGTCCATCCAACTGCATTTTACTTGGCAAAGAACGTAGAAAAAAATGAAGTGTTTGAGAGCATGTAGTGTAGATGCTTTTGGAGGGAGATGGAGCTGACAGCAAACAGATTATGTACGCATTTACAAAAAAGGGTTATAATTTTGGTCCTTTGGGACCCCATCGGACGAAAGCATTGCCAGTTTTTTGAAGGAGAGTTTTTCTGCTGGAGGGTTCATGATTCCCTGTGACTAATTCTTTGCCCGTCCTTTTAGTCAAGCACTGATTCCTGATTGCCGGTTCCTGTTGAACTTTGTGAGTGTTTGTTGTTGGAAATTGTGACTTGTTATCTGTTTTTGCCCAAAGCAAAATTTGTTTGAACTTGCCCGATAGAAGTGTGTCAAGCAGGGCCTCCCAAAATCCGCCTGGCACGCTGGGAAGAATGCTATTTCTAAATGCAAACCACCCCCCTGGATGATTCCGGCTATCCAGGAAGCTCCTGTAAAGCCCTTGCTTCCTTTGCTAATAACTGACTGGAGAATGAATAAATTCCGTTGGGACAGGATGCTTTGTCCATCACTTAGATACTCCAGGAAAAAGCCTTCTTGTTTGCTAGCTAGATTGGCGTAGCAAGCTAGATGACCTTCAGATGAGTATCAATGAGTTGCAGAGGACCAGTTTAAAGAGCTGTCCGTAAACATACAGGCATACTTAGCATACAAAATCCTGCCTAGTGAAAACAGTTTACCAGCTAACAATTATAAAGCAATGCCTCTTTTTAACTGGTTCACCGATATTTGCAGTATTTCCTGCTTAACTGTTCCATGAACAATTTCTTCTCATTTGTTGATTTTTGAAATTTTTGTTTCATTAGCTGGTCTGATGGTAGCCCTGTCGACTTTGATTACTGGGCTGGTGGTGAACCCAATGACTACAATGGCGAAGAACAGTGTGCCGAACTGTACAGAGGAGGTCAGTCACCTTTTGTATCACACCTTATCACATGCCACAGGACTTATTGCTAAGAAGTTCCCTACGTCATTTTTAGATGAATCTATTTACCGCATTAAAAAATTTTCAGGCAGGACCACTTTAGAATCCATCCCAGTTCTCTGGAAGGAATGAGCATGTGGTACAGTGGCATGGTTAGGGTCAACTCTCTGAGGGAGGCCCGGGGATGCACACATTTCTTTCAAAGGGCACTAAAAGTAAATTTGCTGTGGCTTTTACAAAGGTTGTATACGTTTCAACAATTTCAAATGAGGTGGGGGCACCTGGGGGCGGAGATTTCTGCTGGGGGGGGGAGCACTAGTGTCCTGCATGCCCCTCCGTAATTGTGCCATTTTGGTTATGTCAACTTGACCAGGAGATATCAGATGGCCAGTTTCCATGCCTCAGTTGCTGTGTCCTCCAGGAGCTTGGAAGGAAAAGGAATTCCACAAGCTTGCTCGGGTTGGACCCAAACCTATGACCTCATGTTTTCTGGTGCAGATGTCTTACTGTATTCATTGGGCTTACCGGCATCAGTTGGCTAGTGCAAATCAAAAAGAGCAGCCTGTACCTGAGATGACCAGTTTGAATGAGCCGGTTCGGTGTTCCAACAGTGCATGCTCAGTACGAGGCTATTTGAGAACAGCTACACGCGCACGCAATAGTCTGTCCTCTCAGCACAGCCATAGGCTGACTCATGTGTGCTTTGTTCCCCGAAAAACCTTGGCTTTTTGAAATTCTAAACTGGCTCCATTGAACATTGAAGAAAATCAGGCAAAACTTCAAACAAAAAAATTGCTCTAGATTTCATTGTACTGTTAGGAAGACAGGTGGCATAAAGGAATAAGGCAGGTGAATTAAGCCACACCCCTGTTTTTATAATAAGCCCTGGCAGCATGGAAGTCATCAATTAAAAGAATGCAAGAATGAAGTGACCATTGCAAACAATTACAAAATGGTGAATTACCCAATCAGGGAACACATGTGTGAGTGCTTTATCTAATCATAGCACCAATTACATGTGATAAACACGCCCAATAAAGTTTTAATGATGACTTCCTTTTTCAAAAGGACAGGTGGATTTTATAGTCCCAGTGGTGTTGTGAGGCAAGATGTCAGGGATGCTTTGGTGAAGAAATTGTAACTCATTTGAAAAATTTTTATAGCCTTTTTAAGGCTTTTAAGACGATAAAAAGATTGCCGTAAAAAGCATTGTTTCATGAAGTCAAAAATGCAGTTATAAGAAAACAAAATGAAAAATGAACCGTTTTGTGGCGGTTTGAGATGCATCCGAATTTTGATTGCTCGTAATCAAATTAAAAATTTGGCGTGACATTTCTGATCCCCACGCTAGATGGCCGATGGAACGACAACAACTGTGGCATCGACCGGAACTTCATCTGCAGGAAGCATGTCAATTCTGTCACCCCTGTCACCAAGCCCACCACGCCGGCGCCCATGGGCAACTGCCCGCTGGGCGCCGTCAAGTTTGACAGCCGCTGCTACAGCTTCGTGGGCAAGGACGAGGCGGACCGAAAGAGTTGGGAGGATGCCAGGGAGGCGTGTGAGGCGGCGACGGGAAGCCGTCTGGCCATCATCCACTCTGCACCGCTGCAGTGTGAGTACATGGTGGCAACTCAAATGTATCTTCAATTTCCAGAGTTCCATTATCTGCCCTGAGTTAAGGTGCACCCTCACTGGCAAAAGGAGAAGCAGGTGGATGGGAAGTTGTTTAACTGAGCTCACGCATGTGTCCAGCACAAGGCCAAAGACCATACTTAAATTGATTGTCTGTACTCAGCATGCTCGCTGAGTTAGAAAAAAAACTTAAACTATTTGTTTTTACTTTCTCACCACTAAAAAACTGGGATATGATTAAATGGCTCATTCCAGACCAAAAATTAGGGATTATTCCCCATCCCTCTTGGGATTTACACCCCTGCTCCTATTTTACAATGATATATTAGCCCCACCCACATTTCACTGCCTCTAAAAAGTTGCTTGTATCTTAGAGTTAACAGCTTCTGTACTTTCAATAATGGTCTATATCTACTGAAGTCAATTCATCAACATTTAATTTTTTGTAGCCACACTAAGTTAAAAGGCTCCTTTGGAATTGTTCAGTTTTTATTGACCAGATTGGTTTGTTCATTTACACTGTTGGATCAGATGAGCATTACTGAGATGTTCTGGGTTTATATACCTCATCATAATTTTCACACAGAGGTTAACCTGTGTAGTAGCGAATTCCTTGTTCTGAAACCTTTATAAGGGCCTTCTCCACGTGGCTGAACTAAAGCTTCCCCAATCCTCTGAAATCTCTGAGTGGGGTTTGGAGGATTTCGGAGGCTTAGAGTCAATTATTTGTTCAACACCATCACTCTAACAGCATTTCTGACCACCAAGCTGAGGGGCCTGGACTACCGTATGTGGATTGGGCTGAGCGACATCACCAGCAACGCCCGCTTCCAGTGGATTGATGGCACGGCGGTGGACTACACCAACTGGAACGCCGGAGAACCCAACGAGGCCGGAGGCGAGGTTAGTGTACGCTCACGGTGACCAGGGTTGTAGTCAAGCCCCATCGTAAATTCCTTCATAAGTCTCATCACAAGTCCTTTCACGCAACCAGTCATAGGTAACGGGGTGAATAGGGACAGATGAGATTGTTTTTGTCACAGTTGATTTAAGCTTGTGATTTAATGTGCAGCTGCATGGCTTATGATGGACTTGCAGGGACCTTTGGTGGATGTCAACTGCAACACTGATACCAAATGATTTATCACCTTTCTGGTCAACCTACTCAGCTGTAGATACATAGAAGCCATAATGCACTGGGCCACTAGCATATGGGGAAGGAATCGCAATGATGCCATATCCAGTGATGTAGTCGAGACCGCTTATAAAGACCTTCACAAGACCACACAAGACCAGCACAAGACCAGCACAAGACCAACACAAGACCAGCACAAGACCTCCAGTCTGAATTTAAGTCACAAACCATTCAAATGAACCGCAACAAAAGCATTCTTTTATCATTGTTCTCACTGTTACTTGTGTCTGGTCTTGTGACTGGTCTTGTGACTGGTCTTGTGACTGGTCTTGTGACTGGTCTTGTGACTGGTCTTGTGACTGGTGTTGTGTCTGGTCTTGTGACTGGTCTTGTGTGGTCTTGTTAAGGTCTTAAGTGGTCTCGACTACAACATCGGATATGGCATCATTACAAGACTGGCCATATCCCCCTTCAAAAATGTACAAAAACAAACTTGCTTTAGAATAGGAGAGTAAAGTATATCTAATCATAATGCGTATCAAGAGCTTTTAAAAGTCAGCTCTGTTGGTGTCAGTCAAATCATCAATACACTGACTGGAAGTGGAAGTCCCCGCCCAGATAAGTGGGGAGTGACAAAGTCCTCCAGTCAGTTTTTTCAACAATGTAGGGAGGTGAGGATGCTGTAGAAGAATTGGGCAGTAAGGATTAATTTACTCACTGGGACACTTTTGAATCGGTTTGTCCGGATTTTTCAGTGGCTTTTGTATCACTTTTGGCCTCTGTGTCATTTGTAGAGCGACGTCTCTACAACTTATAGTAACCATGTGCAGAGAGACGGTGAGATTCTCTTCTCACATCCAGTCGTACATTATGGATTTCTTGGTGAACTTTAGTCAGAAATGAATGGACCTCATCAGTGGTGTAATTATAGCGGGGCATGTGGGGGGGGGATCCTTTCCCCGTGTGCCCCCCCCTTTAAAAATGTTGATACATACTATGTACAAGCCGAAGTTCCTTGAGTTTTGTGCACCCTCTAGAGCCCAGTAAAAAATTCCACCCTAGTTACGTCACTGGACCTCACTCATCTTGATGTTCCTTTTTTTTAAACTGTGGTGTGCTGTAGGAAGACTGCGTAGAGATGCTTTACGATGTGAACTCAGCCGGGGAGTGGAACGACAACGCCTGCACCAAACTCAATGGCTACATCTGCCAGTCCTACCCTGGTCAGTTTTGTCATTAAAGCCAAATAAAAGTGACCCATCATTCCAAAACCATGAAACCACGAAGAATGATGAGCTATCTCCTAGAAAATGATATCAATGCACACATTGTAAATTTCGTGATTTCCATTGCCTGTCACTATCAAGGCTTTCTGCCGACGTCCAGTCGTAAGCCAACTCACAGCTTGTTCGACTGAACTGTGAAAACAAGCTTTCCTTAATCATTGTTCATCATGCTACTGGTCACTGGTCTCATGATGGACTCAGATGGACTACAGCCCTTCATACAAAGAAGGGGTTTACAGAGTGGCAGAAGAATCTGAGACAATTGTATTTGTGTCTCTACTGTCCATCAGATCCAGCTCTGCCGCCATCCCTCACACCGGTCACTGCCTGTCGTGCGGGCTACAGCCAGTACGAGATGGGCTGCTTCAGAGTTGTCTCCACACCCATGATGTTCAGCGATGCCAACGATGAGTGTCGACGAGACAACGTCTACCTGGCCAGCATCGCCGACCAGTACGAGCAGGCCTATGTGGAGACACTGCTCCACGAGAATGGCGGTACTCCCGTCTGGATTGGCTTGGTGGACGATAAGGTAGCGGGCTAGATTCTTCTTGCTGTTCAGCTAAAAAATTTGCTAATTAGAGAGAATTGTAGCTCAGCAGAAATGAAATATGAATGCCTTTTGGCAGTTTTTGGCGTGGCCCATAAACTTGCTTAACAATATTATTAACTTAATTGCTCTCGGAAACTGAACCAGTACTGCTGGTATCTCTTTTATAGAGCTGATTTTCACAGGAGGAGAGAGGTTATCTTTCAAAATGGTAAATCATGTATTTTTTGACGTGATTTTTCTTTTTAGAAGCTCCATAAAATTAACCTCCAATATTTTGAATGTCGGGCAATTGCGTGAAAGAATTTTCTAGCATTGCAGCATTGTCTTTGACTTTGTCTTTATGTATGTGGACTATAGAGGGTTATGCATGGCTGCCATCTGAGAGGCCTGTGCTTTTGTATCGCTGGGTATGCACAAAGGAGTTTACCCTGTAGACGAAAGGAACTGACCTGCAAGATGGCTACCACGCAAAGCCTCTATTTTTGCACTGTGGCTCCACTAGGAATATTGCCTTCAGCCATGATAAGTGCACTTCTACAGGTTCACAACACAAAGAATAATCGTGGACAGTATGGAAATGTATCCTCTATTTCATGGTTAGCAACAATGAGTACTTTTGATCCCTGTGCTCCCAGGTTGAGGGCGAGTACAGATGGGTAGACAGCTGGCCCGTGTACTTCACCCACTGGGGGCGGAGTGAGCCCAGCCGGGGAGGGGGTGAGGGATGCGTTGCCATGGAACCCAACGGTAACTGGAACGACACACGGTGCTCCGATATGTATTCCGCTGTGTGCAAGTATTCCTTAGGTGAGTACCGGCAGGAACGATGACCCAGATTGTGTTTACTGTTTGGCAATTGTACATTAGCATTATGAGGAATGGGGTACTTTACATTATCCATAACTTTGATTTTTGAGAAATTGTACCAAGTTCTTTTGAACATTCTAGCTGCCAAATACAATCATCACTCAGGAGCAACCATCCTTGGTCTTGTTAGTTGTGGCCCTGAATTTGGGAGATTTTGAGGGTATCAGTTCAGCTTTGTTGGTTGAGCACTGATTCCAAGTTCTGGTGGTCCAGTGGAGTTCACTTAGTATATATCAATGCACCCAAAATGCAAGGAGTAATGCCGTGAAGTACAACCTGTTTTCTGCTTTTTGGTGGGGTGTTTTCCTTTACAGAAACCCTCCCTACAGACCACCCTGACACGCCTGGTACCTGTCCCGAAAGCTGGTCCCCCTATGGTAGCTATTGCTACTACTTCCAGCCAGCAGACCAGGACTTGGTAGAGTGGCCCATAGCCGACTTCAAATGTATCGGCATGGGTGGGCAGCTGGCTTCTATCCACAGCAAACCTGAGAATGAGTTTGTGCGTAGCAATGCCAAGCGGACAGAGTCCATGTGGATCGGGCTGTACCGCTCAGATGCAGGTAAGACATTCATTTATGGTTTGAAGTTGGAGCACTGAACCTATTCCTATGAATTTGTTCAAGGCAGAACAAAAAGGAGAAAGGAGAATGTTACCATGCTTGCTGGTCGTTTGGATTTCATCCTCATTATGCGCTCACGTGCAGGTGCAGACAATTACAACTGGTTGTGTACATTCGGTTAAAATTGGTCAAGTGCCGTAGCATAGCGCAGACCATGACAATGTCCATTATCAGCGCTAATGTATGTTGCTTGGTGGCTTATATGCAAAATTCTGTCAGCTGATGTTATTTTCTTCTGGTCTGCATCTGAAGGTGGGTTTTCATGGGAGGATGGCACTGGAGTGGACTTTGTGAACTGGGCGCAGGGTGAGCCCTCGTGGCAGTGGGACGGGGAGCACGAGAATTGTGTGGAGCTGTACCTGGACCGTGGAGAGTGGAACGACCTAGACTGCAGTAATCTTAAGTCTTACGTCTGCAAGATGCCCAAAAGTGAGTCCAGCACTGCGTGATTCAAGCATATCTCTTTTTAAGCCTCGCCCCTGTAGGTGTCATGTTGGGCCAGTCCATTCAGATATGCCAGTACCCTCCATGCAAAGGGTTTTGGATGATGCCAGACTTTAACAGCTAAGGCTTCAGATAGAGTAAACACTAGGCTAACATTTGCTTGAATATCACCAGAAGAGTATTCCTCAAAGTGTGTTGCTGAATGATGGCGAGGGGGGGGACTTGGCTAACTATTAAAATGGGGAAACTTACTAAACTAAAATGGACCCAAAAAGGATTCCTAAGGTTTTACCTCAAAATAGTCCAAAAATAAATTGAGCGGGGGTTTAACAGTCTGCAAGGGAAATTCATTAGTTTTCTGAAAGATATGTCTCATTTCCTTTCCCTCATGTATAAATCTACATACAAATTAAACTCAAAATTATTTTGGGACATTTCCTTAAAGTAAAAAAAAAATCAACATTCAAATTTATCTATATGTCCTTCGGGAAATTTGTATTGCTGACATAGATTTCTGCTCTTTAAACAAAGTACATATTAACACACTGCAGGATACAGGCATGCATAAACAACAATGAATTAATGGTACATGCAGCTTAACCAAACACGGATGTGTAATACATTATAACTTATCCGCTGCTATCATTCTAATTTAATTAATGTAGAATCGAGAGATCTTGAATTCGTTCTCATTCATTTGTCTAATGGAGAATGGTACGAAGGAGTTTGCATATCAAGAGGTCCCAGCTTTATTTGATTTCCAGCGTCTTCTGACGAGTGGGTTATTTTCGGGCAAATTCAGCCCAAGATACTGTGCAATGCGGTACATCGTTTTACTTTATTTTCTTCCCACTTTATTTCACAGTGCCAATCAGTGGCCCCCCGGGGCAGGTTACCAACACCCCTCCAGCGACACTACCAGGCGGAGTCACCAAGTCACCACAAAGTGAGTCCAAAAGCTGTTGTATCATAACAGTACAACCTTTTGTGCTTGTAAATGTGTCTAAAGTCAGTCTTGATTTGCACGTAAAGCAAGCTATTATCTAAACGTCTGAGTGACTTTTCCTTTTGAATTTAATAGATAATGCTTTGTGTCCACAGCATTGTATCAATGACGCGTTTTTTATTTTTTCCCCCTCAGAATTCTAACTTTTACTCCGAACACTTCATGTCACTTATCTATACTATGTAATCTTTAAAATGACATCTTATGAATATGTTTGGCTCGTTATTCACTTCTTATCCGACTGGCCAGCTGACCTGGCATTCTGGGTGGTCGAGTGGTAAGACATCTGCTTTAGTAAGCAGGAGATCATGGGGTGGAGTCCTGCCCGAGTAGGGTTGTGAATTTTTCACAAGCCTCTAGACAACACTGAGCATACATTTTCTATAAATGTACGCCGGTGAAAGGCAAAACATCCAATATGACGTTATTATCAGTAGTGCATTAACCCTAACCCTTCTCAATCCTTCACCTGTTGGAGGACTTGAGGAGTGTGAGGGTTAATATTTTGAAAGGCCCGTACCTGAACTGTACAATCACATTATGAAAACCTCCAGTTTTCATTTTTTGCCAACAAAAAAGTGCCTTTATCTTCTGTTTTTCTCTAGTTATGAAGTCTTTTCCTCAGTCTCAGTACTCTTCGCTTTCTGGTTTTCCCCTCTTGGCAGAATCTAGTGGCGTCTCCTCCGGAGCTGTCATCGGCATCATCCTGGGCCTTCTGGTTGTGGTCCTGCTGCTCGTGCTTGGCGCGTTCTTCCTCAGGTCGCGCTCCAACAAGTCCAAGGCTCCGCCCAGCATCAGCATGGACATTGGCTCGGTGGGCTTTGACAACGCTGCGTACAATGCCAGCACTGGGGAGGTCAAAGTCAGTGACCCTGTGGCTGTGTCGGCTGAGGCGTAAGCTTCACCATTCCAAAAGTAACACAGGGATTTGAAACTCATGTTATAAATGGTTTCCAAGAGAAATTATACATATATTAAGCATATGTGGCCTACACGGTGAAAATGAGCTTCAAGTTGCCAAAGCCACTTGTAAGTTTACAGGCATTTAAGACAATTTTGCCCATGGAAATCAGTAGGAACTCTCAACATCTTCTGCCCACACAATGTCCATTTTGATCAGGATGCCAAAATGAATGATATATCAATACAAAAAGCACGGCTTGCTCCTACTAATGCAAATTGAAACAAAACTGCCCAAAAAATGGCCTTATGACTCATTTTCACAGAGCTAGTCACATACAGTGAAATTATGAAAGGGCTTTGAGAAGAAAGTCTGGAGCCATAAAGATTAAAGGCCAAAAGTGCAGATTGTTACACCAGTAGCCAATTTCATGTAGTTCCTAAGCACACGAGTTGCGAAGTTGCTTAGCAACAACAGGTCACCAGCCAAAATATAAGATGTCTGCTGCTCACCACTGGTTCCCCATAACTGCTGCCTTCTGAGCAAAATTTCATTCCAAAAATTATCCGAAATTGTCTGAAAAGTTATGGGGTAAAAATCTGCATTTTTTAGAGCCCAGGATAGGCAGTAGCCACTTACTGAAGTGTGCACGCTCAGGTTAAGACACCTGCTGGAGTGTAAATGGCATCTGGGAATGGCGTCTCATCAGATTTGTCCATAGACGTGCCAGTTTGTCAACGTATTAAGTGACGATAAACAAATGTTGTATTCTTAGAAGTTTTATAGTTACCAGCTGATTGTTAAAGACATTTTTATATAAGGTTATGAGATAATTGATTGCAGAATTAATGATACCAAAAAATTCAAGTGGACTTTCATTATTTTTCTCTTTTTTGGCAAAAGCTCTTACATGTTCTCTCAGGCCAAATGTAGTTTCAACAGATATTCAAGTTCCCTTTTAGGAAACTGAAGAATTCAAACACTGTAAATATTAAGTTTGTAAAATATGATCATTCCAATGGTGTGCCATTGTCTGAAGTGTTTTTTTTTAATTTTTACATTTTTTGCAAATTGTTTTGGATCATTAATTCATCAAGTGTTTTAGTGTGATAAAAAATGCATTTCTTTGGCTACCTTTCAAGGATACAGTTGACCAGCTGGCTTGTGGAATTTTAAAATATTTGTATTCAGTGATTTATGGACAAAATTGTAACAAGCCTACAATCTCACCCTTTTTTTATAGTAATTTCAACATGTTATCTTTATTTCTTTTGATTTTCTTGTATATTCCTAATAAACTTTGAAGTATTTCTACTTCTTAACAGGATTGTTCCTTTTACTGTCTGAACATCTTTTCTTTATTTTCAGCTGACAGCTGACATTTTTTGATTTCTTGTGGGTACAAGAAACAGTTCCTGTATAAAATTTTTGGCAGATCTTAGCCAACTTTCCCAGTTGATTGTAATGAGTTTCCAAGGCTGGAATTTTCATTATTTAATCAATATCTGGAAATTTAAAGGTCAGCTTTCTAAGCCTGTCTGACTATATCCAAGGTTTCAAGATGTGATCTGGAATTTGTTAATATATATGCATTTTTGTTATTTACTGTGTGATAAAATTGTTGAGTTGTTTTCTGTGTTGAGCTTGTTTTTCTGCATGTTCTGTTACAATTTCAAACATTTGTGCCGGTACATATGATATGGAGATATCGTGCCTTTGACTTAGTTCATGTGCTTGGACATGAACAAATTCAAATTTTCTCTGTGAAAACTTCAATGTTTTTTACATCGTTCTGTATTTTCTCCAGAGTAGTTACAACTAGAGGACACCCAAGTCACAGTCTTCCTGAAAAAATGGTTTTCCCACATCTGCTTGTGAACCAGATTCCTTGTGGAATCCTTGCACAGTTCCCTGTTGTGCATGCAGTGCCTAGATGAAGTCTTTATGTAGTTGTGCACATTCAAACATAAATTGTGAGCGATCTGCACCGTATACATGTACGCGCACAGCGTACGGAGGTCACATCGCTGTCAAAGGGGAATGCAAAATAATGTCAAAGTTGATGTCAAGTCTAATTTCGCAGTGTGATTTGATGCGCATGATTTATCCCGGTTCCAACTGATAAAGCAATTAGCTGACAGACCAAACAGTCAAAGTGCGTGCCACTGAGTCCCAGGAGGTGAGTTAAACAAATGTCTTATCTCCCTTTGTATTTTTCTAAAAAGGTAATTACTACTTGAAATCCTTCATGATACGCCATGATAACTGCTCAAACTGTGTGATCACCACTTTCGTGGGATTCCTTGAACTTTGTGCACTGATAAAAGAAACTTTGCGACACCACAAGCTCAATTTTTGGTCAGACTGGCGCAGCGTTTTCAGCCTGTTGCTTCCAGCCTGCCATTGCAGTGGTTCTCCGGTTCTCGTGGACATTTTGCTCAACTCAAGTTACTGCTTTCTCTTTGGTTTGATTGGATGTGGCTGGTTGAGAAGAGATGAGGTCCCTGCTCATCTGTCTGTTGGCCCTCCTGCCTCTTGGTATGTTGGTCTCTGTGTGTTCCTGTAAAAATGGCGCTTGCTTGGTTATGTTAATTTGTCAGTTTGCTTTTTCTTCTGTTTTAAAGTCTTGTTTGTACTCTCAAATATTGCACCGTATCAATAGATCTCAGACCCGTAGGTGCCAGGGTCATTTCCCTTTGTCTTTCTTAGCTATACTGAAATTGCTTCTATTTCAGTCACTTTTCTTTAAAAAAAGAAAGAAAAAGATTAGTTGTATGCTCTTAATGTAGGTGTCAAGCATTGCAAAGTTCGTGCAACCGATTTAACTGATGTCAGCATCCATTGTAGCAGTCACAGTCTTTTAGGTGGCTGCATTGTTATTTTGGACATATTTTTTCAGTTTTTCCAAGTGTAACTTTTGAAATTGACTAAGGGATTTATTCTGCATTGTGAGCAGTGCTACTCAGTGATACCCTAAAGACTAATCCAAGGAGATCCACTCCAATAGCACCACCCCGCCTGCAATGCAGACCACAAACAGTCTTAAAACTTCAAGATTCAAGATCATTTGTCTGTATAAAACACAGAAATTTGCCTTCCAATGGCAAACAAAATATAAAGAATATGATACAGTGCCTTCAGTATGTACAAATTACAGGGAACACACAGGTACATGCAGTTAATAAATACATTAACAGTTAACAGAAAAGAGATTCGTAAACATGAAATAATACATTACAGGAATACATTCAAATATTTAATAAAATTGGTCAGAAAAAAGTTTGCAGAGTGAGAATGGGAGAGAAAAGTTGAAGTAGAGAAAAGAGGAAATATAGAAACGAAGAAGAGGAGGCAGAGGAGGCAGGAAGAAGCGTGTGTCGCCGTGGATACTGTAAGCACATGTGTATCATTTGAACAAGCTACAGTACCTTACAATCCTGGCAAGAACCTGGGAGTGAGATCAGGGCCACTGCATTGTGGCATCTCATCTTGACCACCGTATTGGTGGTGTGCATAGAAGACTTTTCTTTGCTCTTTTTTATCGTTTATGTTGTTCGTACTTTCCCTTGTTTCGAAATTCTTCCCATTTGATTTGTACATAGTTTATCAACAAAGACAGCTTGCTCAACTGAGGACTTGTCCTCACAAGTGATTTATTCATTCAGTGTCCTGTTTGTATTAAGAACTGTGGACGCTCTTGAAACTTACCGACAAATAAAAAAAAAACCGAGAGTCTGCTAGAAAATTAATTTTGTAAATTTGGCTTTGTAGTCCATCTGAAAAATGGGATTATATTCTTGTAGTTGCCATCATACAGTTGGTTTGAACCCAAATGCAGTTTGTAAGATTTGTTTGACAAAAAAAGGACGAAAATGCCACAAACTTGTCTAAACTCAAGCAGAAAACAAGTGCAAAATGTAACTTATAGTACTTTGTACAGATTGGCATGGATTTACCAAATGGTGCCTTTGACTTTGATCCATCACACTTGTTTTAACCAATGACTTCTTATGTACATTGTGTACCGTTTAATGAACTACGTTGCAATGAGCATACACACCTAAATCTCAAAACTTTTTGGACCTTCAGCTTAAAGGTGTAGTCACAGGACCAAATTGCTCGGTTGACTGCAGGGCTCTTCTGTAGTGTGTTTGCCTGTGGACTCAACTTATCTGATAAGACCGCAATTAACATTCACAAGGTCAACAGTGCACTTTTTTACCTACTTGAACCTCCAATACCTCACTCCAGAAAACTTTTTGGTCCACAGTGCATGACATCAAAGTGGGAGTTTACTCAATGGAGATTCCTTTAGTTAGCTGAATTCTAATTTGGAGAATTTCAATTTCTGAGGCTGTATCCAGATTATGGTGCTGCTGACAGCAGTCCAATTTAGGTATGGATCTGGATATGGCTTGGTCCACTTCCCATACATATGTGTGTTCTAAGTAGCCGTAGGCCATGTATATGCAGCCGCACTCTGAAGACTCATTTTTCTAATACACTCATTAAATGCACATAGACTGGATTCATAGTGACCATCATTTGCAGGAAAGACTGTAATTCTTTACAGAAGGTTACCAGCTCCAGAAGAAGGTAGGCCGTGTCTGAGTCACTTGTCTACTGTTTGAAATTAAAACTCTAAGGCAATGGCTGTGGCCAGTTCTCATTAAGTCGTTTGTAAATTCTGGCTGTAGCCAAGTGAGTCAGACACGGCTTTATAGTACTCTAGTGCTTACTGTCGAATGGGTTCAAGTTAGCTAAGCTAGATATCAGGGCTTCTTTCGCAGTCTTTTGTTAATTCGATTAGAAAATTGTTAACAGTTGTTAAGAATCAGTGCAGACTTATTTTTTAACTGTAAATGAAAAAAAAAAAACAAACGTAATGTGAAAAGACCATTATTAAGGGGTACGTGTAAGTGAGAATAAAATTCTGCTGATTTAAGTAACTGGGGTGAGTTTTTCACATGTGATTTTATAATCAGTGTACCACTGACTTTGTTGAGATTTGGTCAATGTTGAAGTCTGCTATCAAAGTCAACAGAACATCTCCCCCTACGTGGTGCTGATACCAGATGTCAACTTGATACCAGAAATGCAGAAATAACGACTTTTTCATTTGTCTTTATCAGGATGGTGTCCACACTCTACGCTATTTTTGTATTGTACAAGAGATAAAATGGCTCCAACCTTTTATTTTCTCTTCCCTGTCAGGGGCGGGGCATCAAAAAAAGGAGGGTGCAGGAGATGAAAGCTGTCTCAGTTAACTGAAGTCTTTTACATGTCACCAAAAGCAGTTGGTGAAATTCTGATTTTATAAAAACTTGAAATGCACTTAAACTCAGCAGTGCTTATTTGTGTTCAAAACATATGGTACATGTGATGTTGAACAGCACATCAATAGTTGAGTCAGGGGAGATCTTGTATTATATTGTTTATTGCATTTCCCATGGGTTAGTTCCAGTCATACATTAACCCTAACACTCTTCAATCCTTAACCTGTTGGAGGACTGAGGACTGTTAGGGTTAATGAATGTAACTACAAAGGCAATATCTGAAATGAGATGTTTATTTTATAGGTTTAAACATTAAAAAAAATAGTTTTAGTTTATTTAGTGTTTTATTTTGCGTGTATTGTTTTTAGCCTTTTGAGGCCTTGTCTTTCAAGCTGTTTTTTTTCTAAAGCTTTATCTTTATAGTTTTGACACTTGTTCAAACCTTTCAATGAAATTTAAGCTTTATAACCCTGAATGTTAAATCAGAAAAGTTCTTATTTTCAAGAATTAGAAGTTACTCATATGTGTTTCCATGTTCTATGCCCCAACATTACCTTTGAAAATGCTGACTTCACACCCGTTCTGATGAGCTAAAACACTTGTGCCCAAACATTTTAATTTCTGAAATTGACCATATGTAGCTCTCTGTCAGCGATGCCCCTATGGTTGGGAGATGTACTCCCCCGGGGACACCTGCGTCATCCTCAAGATGGACTCCTCCAAGAACTTTCATGAGGCCCAGAAGGATTGCAAGTCCTACGACTCACTGACCGACCTGGTGGTCATCAAAGACAATGCCATGAATGTGAGAAGCCATAAAATGTTGTAGTGGGTTTGAAGAAGACATGCCAACATTAGCTAGTGTGGTTCCGTGATAACAAGCAAGGTTCACGTATAATGCCGTGTCTGTGCCACTGAGCCTTGTGTGGACTAAGCCAGGTTATCTCTTTGCAGGAAACAGTTTTGGAGGCCTTGTTTTGGGTTATTGGGTTGTCTGTAGCAAAATGAAAAGAAAAAAATCAAGGAAACCATTAACAAAAAAATCCATATTAAAAGAACGAGTAGTTTCACCAAGTTTTCTTTACACAAAAACAATGATATTGCCCGCACTAGGTAGATAACAGGACAATGTGAAGCAGTACGTCTCTGGGCCAGCCCCGTCGCCAGCTTCAGTCATTAAGGACGGGCCACAGTATCAGCTGAGGGGCCAAATCACAAGAACAAAACATTTCTTATGCTTATGGTTTTTACCGATGGTGGGGGGGGGAGCAGCTTCCAAACAAAGGGGGCCCTGAACCGCTTGGGCTCCCCTTGGCAATGTTCTAGGCATTCTAGCATTGTTTTTTTGTTGAGGGAGGGAAGGGTAATTGTTATGTTTTGTGCCAAACTGTACCCAATTTGTTCCTGTTTCAGTTTATGATTTCAGAGGGGTGCAGAGTGGACAGGGCGTTGGTCCTTTACTATTCCCCCCCCTAGCATAACTAGGCTGAACTTTCAGAGGAAGAACCTGCAATGCCCACATTTTGTCGAGGTGGCACTTCAAAGCAAATTAACTGTGGCATGTACATATAGGCTGTGTACATTTAAAAATTTCAAAGGAGGACCCTGGGGGAGGGGGGATCACAGACCTCCCCTGACATCCCAATCATTCTGCTTTCATCACTGTTTACAAAAAAGTGCAACATAACCCTTTTGCTACAATTCGCAATTTCTACTCGCAGACGTGGCTGACAAACCTCATCAAGAACACCAACAGCGAGTTCATGATTGGACTCTCCGACCAAGGCACAGAGGACAAGTTTGTCTGGGTCAACGGAGACGAGCTGGAGGGGCAGAAACAGAAGTGAGTCAGAATTATCCTGGTGGGGTGGGGCACAGGCTATCTCCGCCCACAAAATGTCCCCCGCATCCCTACGAGGAGTGAAGTGTATTCACAATCAATGAATGTTGCTAGCACTTCTGTGGATTCAATTTTATCCCATCAAAGAAGACTCTAAGATGATAACATATCTGTTTTACTTTCCTTTTTTAGAGCCCTTCCATTTGATACACCCAAGGGTTGAACAGGCAGTCTGTGAAGGGATGTGAGAATCTAGCTTTTTAGCTGATTTCGGCCTTTTTTGTCCATATTTTTACTAAACAAAAATTGTCAGCTCTTTGTACACATGCAGTACAAAATGATAGAAACTTCTTAAAGTTCATCTTCTTTGCTCTTTTTAGCCTACTTTGTATTTGGCCATTCACAACTCTTTGTTCTAGAGAAGTTAAAAAAAAAAAAGCAGTAGCATCTGCCCTTCATACTTTTAGAATCACTGCTGTGGCCGAAGTCGAAATGCGCTGTCACTTAGTGGTGTCTTTTGCTGTAATATTTGCTTCTGTTTGTGCCCAAAAGTTTTCTTGTTTATTCATTCCTGTATTCCTTTGTTTGTTGTTTTGCTCTTTTTTTCATTGGTCTGCATTTCTCCTTCTTTTAAATTTTACTTATTTTTGTTGCTTGTTTGTACAGGACAAATTTGTTCAAATCTGTTAGGCATTTGTTCAATTATTCTTTAAATATCGAAGAATTCTAATTGGTTGCTGAAATTTGTTTTGTTTTGCACACTAGTCCCAATTGGAATGGAGGGGAACCAAATGATTATAACCAGGCTGAAGACTGTGTCCACATATTGCCCAATGGAAAATGGAATGATATTGGATGTGACAAGGCCTATTACTTTATATGCCAGAGGCCGAACGGTAAGGATACAGTGATACTGTCACTACTGTGAATCCACACAGCATGTGAACAAGAGACGGCATTTATACATGGCAATGATATGTTAGATAATCCACCTTGCAATGTGCTTGGGGCACACTCTGTGCATGCATGGGTTCCTTATGTGGGCTTTTAAGGGATGGCTGCTGATGAGCACATGCCACCAAATGCACTCTGCACCCAGTGGAAGCAAACCCCATCAGCCTCTTTTCTCCTTGGCGGGGGGGGGGTTGACATAGAATGGAAATAAAAGCATGTTTTGACAGAGCGTGGATTGTACTCTGAAATGGCATTCATTCCTACTTACAAATGTAATTATAGTGTAGCTTCAGAAGGATTTAGGCAAATGTGACATTGATGTTTGAATGACAACTTTATGCATCTTAGACTAGTAGTTGGACCATGGTTTTATTCAGTTGTAATTAGTAGATGTGATCAATTCAAATCAGATATGACAGGATTAATTTAGGGGCAGTGTTTGCACCCGCTCAGTGTTGGCAGAATGTTGAAAGCACACTGTATGTATCTCTGCACGGGGAACTAACCAATGGTGCTTTTATGACAGAATGAGGTGGCCAATCATTCATTTGCCTTTTGCACTCCCCTTTCCCCCGTTTTGTAAAGAAACCCAAGTTATTCACTAATCTTTTTTGTGATCCTTGCAACAGATGTTCCTCTCGCGTGTGATGAAGACAAGGGCTGGAAGACAGGTGTGGAGCGTTGCTTGAAATACTACAGTACCTCCCTGAATTGGGCCGACGCTCGTCAGTACTGCCAGGACAGACAAGCTGACCTGCTCCAGATGCACTCGGCTGCCGAGCAGAGCCTGATCCTGACGATGTCTGTGGCTGGTAACTGGAACACATTCTGGATCGGACTGACGGATCAGGTGGGGCTGTTTGTCTGTCACATTTGTTGGATGGCTGTGGGTTGGCAGTTAACGGGACAGGTTAAGTGTTCTGGAGGCCCTCATCCATTCCAGGCTTCATCACCATGTGCTGGTAAACACTCCAGCCTCTCGTTTATGTTGATGCTAAGCTGTTCTGAGCCAGTCTGGTAGCTATTATTGCCATTGGCAATGTATTGGACATATTTGAGATTCATGGTCGGGGACTCATGTCCCATTAGGTAGTGCTGCCTAGGTTCTCAGCTCTGCCAAGGTACAAGCACCGATTTCATAGTGCTCGCTAGTGGTGAAATCTTGCATTTCATGTTGGTGCAAAGCTGAAGAAAGCTGTAAACTAGCAAGTTGTTGAAACTTTCCTATAACTGATGATTCAGGAAGACACTAAAACTTTTCTTGTGCCTGTCTGAATGTTGTTGTTTGTGTTTTATGGCACACCTATGGTAGTTTAGTTGGCCGTTGACATTCTGTAGGCTTCAGACTTCTCAGTGGTTGAGTTTTGTAACCCTTTTGTACTCCTTTGCTCAGTTGGAAGAACAAAAAGGTGTTGTTTATGGAGTTGAGTGCTCATTCTTAACCAAAATGAAGTTTAAACCTGCT